TCAAGGTCACAAACGAACTTTAGCATTAGCCTAATCTTATCTATTAAATGATCCAGAGTTACACTGAGAGTGACAGTCCCCAGTCCAGATGGGCAGCAGCTATCACAATGTGATGGTTGAACCAGGCAAGCCCAAATGACAAGGAAAGAGGGGTACCTAAAACATTTTCTCTTGTATGGGTCTATTTTAATGGCTTTAGGCACCAAATCTAATTCCTGTGTTAAAGTGTCATGATTTATGCAGGATTAAAAAATCAACCGCCTTCAGAGATCTTTTGTATAAAGGTCAAATTTTTGAGCACTCATCTCTGGACCAGGGAAACCTTGGATTCCAGTCATATGGCAGCTGGACAGGGACTGAACTCACTACATCTAGCTCTCTTGACATGTTTATGAGGGTATTTTTGAATATGCACTACCAAGAAGGGAGTAGATCAAAAAATATAATGGCACGTAATAGCATGGACCTTGTATTCTAATTACATATAAGCATTTTTTTTTTCACTTCTGAGGTGATATGTGCCTTTGGAGGACTGTAGAGTTATTCAAAAAATGACATCTGTGATGCCATCAACCCTACTCTATAGGATATTAATGGTCCTCAACCCCCCCCCGCATAGCTTCATGGGCAGCATAGCCAGCACAAATTAGAAGCCAAGGGGCAGTGATGGGCATGGCACCTTATAGAGAATATGGTGATACAAATGATGCCCTAAGTTTTAGCTTTGGTATTTTCAGATTCTGTACCACCTTAGTGTGTGATTCTGAACTTCATATAAAGTGTTGTCACTGTTGACCTCATTTCAGAGAGACGAGATACTCTTTCAAGGGGTGAAAAAAGCTAAGACTTTATTTTATACATCCCTTTATACAGAGTTTTATAAACCCTCCCATGTCTATCCCCAGTTGAGGTGTGTGTCAGTAACAAGCTGTTACCTTGTAGTAAATGGTCAGTCTTGTACAAGGTGTCTACATGCAAGAAAGAGTTGTTTGTGATATATTGTTTTCATTCTTTCGCTGAGATGGTTGGGATTGTTGAAGCAGGTGCAAGAAAACAGCCCTAATCTGTAGAATTCTTTTGCAGGGAAACAAGTTGTTTGCTGCCATTACAGGCTTCTGTTTGCATGAAGGGCTGTTAGCTTTCTCCCTGCTATGTGAGACCAAATCAGGATTCAGTCTGCAAGGCCTTATACAGGCCTGCTGTTTGCCACCACAAAGTGCTTGCAAGTTCTCTTCACAGGCTAGTTAGACAAAACAATCCTTTTCCAGATTGAGACCCAAGGGCAGCCATTACAGCCTCAGGCCCAAAAAGCATAAACAAAGGTGAATTGAGGAGAGCAAGCTGAGAGGATGGGACTTCATAACTTGAGGCTGTAATTGGACAATTAACCCCAATATGTAAATAGACCAAAACTTCTAAAAGCGTGAAGACTTGTGACCAGTCATCCATTTGTGTCCGTCTTGGGTCCATCTTGGGCAGAATCCTGTACTGCCCAAGGTGCATTCTTTAAAGGCCTGTGAATAAATACCTACTTTATTCCTTTAACTCTGTCCAGCCTCTGTTCCAGATCAGCCTCTCTAGGCATCACAATCAGAAGGCAAAAGCCAATTAGGTGACAATGACACAAAAAGTGTGCTAAAAACTTAAATAGTGCAAGGGTGAAAAGGGTGAAGAGTTAAGTTCTCACACCACAGCCCACTCCTGTCATCATGTTATATGAGCTGTCTGCCCCCAAGGAGGGTAAGACAAGAACATTGAGCACCATGTACCCCAGCAGTCATCATCTGGTGACCTTCCAACCTCACACAAAGCATGAGGCCACATCTTGGCAGTTCTTTATGTTTACTTGCTCAGTGCTTTCAGTTATAATTTGGAAAACTGAAATCTAGTTCACATTCCTCTTGTGACTGATTTAACTTGTATCTTTTAATCCTCCTGTATATCCTCCCAGTATATTGGTAAAAACACGATTCAGATTACTTGGGCAGAGAGAAGGCTTGACCAAATGATTTCTTAATTAATTCATTCCCACAGCAAATTATTTCCTTATAAAAATTCATTTATTATTAAACATATACACCAACTTCAATACACATAAATTTTCCTCCAAGCTCATCATGTTGTATGAAAACAAACACAAACATTCCAAAGAAATCTACAGTTACTAGAAGGCAAATGTAAAAAACCTCAGCATTATGGAGTAAGAAGCTACTGCACTGTACAAATCAACTTCTTTAACTAAATAACTCATAATTGCTACTCTTTTCAGCAGTTATTTAAAACAAGCCTATTGAATTTTAAGGTATAGTACATCATGTGTTGAGAACAAAAGAAATTACTATGTAGGCATGGAAAGACTCATCACTACTCTCAGGACTGTATATTTATTACTCTATTACTAAATTATTACTTTTCTATTAATATCTGATTCCTTCACAGGAGACATGAAAATTTTAGCCATTCTTGATTAAAATGCTAAGTAAAATCTCAGAAAACAAGTTATGTTATTTTTATAGTACAATTAACAACTTTGCATACTTTTGCATTTTGCCAGTTGTTACAGTCTGCACTTTTAGTCCCAAATAAATTTGCCTTAATTAATTGGAGGCTTAGTAAATACATACCCCAACTATCTGGCTGAGCATTTGACTAAACTCCATGCAGCCAAAAATATGTCCTCTAGCTCTTCTCCCTCCACTCTGTTTCCCAAAAAAAATCCACACTTCAGTTTTCCAAGCAAAATATCAACAAATCCCCCCTGTGGCTTTTGAGTCCCTGTTCCAGCAGCTCCAATGAGACACCATAATCCAGCGAGGCCACTGCACCCTCACCCCACAGGAGAGGCTCAGCACTAAGACTGTATGGGGGGTGCTTTGGTCAGGCCACACAGCGTGGGGGAAGAACTGTTTAATTGTGGCTTAAAGTTGCTGTCCTCACAGGAATTAACCCAATCCAGCTCCAGATTCCAGTGTTCTAATGAATAGTTTAAAGGGAATTTCAGAGAAAATTAGATCTTCACTAGAAAGTGATAAGGCAGAGCACAGAAAGGACAGGCAGCCACAAGTGAAGGAGGGAGGGAAAGAACAAGAAAAGAAAGGAGGAAGGAAGGAGTGAAGAAACTGTACCCTTATATAAAAATATCAAGAGTTTACTTTAACATGGTGTTTTTACTCAGATAAAATATTGGCACTTATTTGCCCGTACTCAAATCAAATACAAGGTTTTGTTTGCCACAGATTTATTCAGTTTAATTCTGTGAGAATGAAAGGAAAATTCTATAGATTTCTAAGCAAATTCACGTATTATCCTTGTGATGGTTTTTTTCACAGTTATGCCCGAGAGTTTTCTGATTGCTCAAATGCAAAATATCCAGCTTCACTCTTGGAGAGCATCTTTTTCTGCCATCTTCATTTCTACTTAAACAGCTTTACTGATGTTTGTGTAAAGAGGGCAGTCTATTTTCATAGAACAGATTCTATTAGGTTTTGTAAATATACTTACAAAGGTATCTGGGATAAATGCCCATAACATGGTGTCCCACAGTTAAACTGCTTTCCATCAGCAAGTGCCTGCAAAGACAGCCATCTGAATGCAAGGCTTATAATGCAGAGAACTAGTGCTTCCAAAACTAAGATGTTGACCACACAATACAGTAAATGTACACCTTCTACCTAATAGAGTATGTTTAAAATAAGCTTATATCAGTCGTACATAAGACATTAACTTACTTCAACAACAGTCTGGACATGACTCATTGTACAAGAAACTGATTTTCCCACTTTTACAAATGTGACAATTATGAATTACTCTAGTGCCTGAAAAATTTCTGAAGTAGTACAAACATGGCAACTAGGCAAATATATTACCTGCCTAGCTACAGGGATCCATATGCATATGCTTTCTTTTCCTGATTCTGAAAGTGAACCATACCATAGAAGTGTTTACAATGTAGGCATTAGGTGAGATGAATCTCAGCCACACCCTAACGTCTCCCATGATGAAAACAGGGAAGTATAATAAGGCACACTTCCAAAATATTACTTTGGTATTAGGCAGGTAACAAATTTCTCTTAATGTGAAGGGTCTCCAATTCAAGGCCTTTTGGAACAGAGAAACCCTGGCATCAGACAGACTCAGACTACGAGCAGTAGCAAAATGAACATATAAATTTTAAAATGGAAACCATGCATAAAATCTTACTATTCCTTTGGGATGTAACTGCACAATGTTCTAACCCAAAAAGTATTTATTTAGGGACCTAACTGATGCTAGAACAAAGCTGTTGCCTTGGGAAGCACAGGACAGGCACAGAGAGCTCTGTTGTGGAAGGCAGACTTCATCAACCACACTTGGCAATATCTGAGTGTTACTTGGCCACCTTTGAGCAGCAGGAGGGCCGGGGGCACCAAGAGCAACCATCCCAGCCAGGGATGTGCTCTGCAGTGTGGGAAGGGGATTTAAGGCAGTGGACTTCTTTCAGCAGTTTAACTTAGAAAACCAGCCAGCCAAAAACGAAAATAAGGGGTTAAGTAAGGTAAAATTTCAGATTTTTAAGACTACCACGTCTATAGTTATGCCAAAACGTATCCTGTTAACTATACAGCCTGGGAGCTAGCAGACCACGGTGATGGGCACAGTTTGGTTAAAAAACAAAGGGTGCCACACATAGGAGGGCAACTGCCTTCCGAGGTAGCCTAAGGAAAACCCGTGGCTGATCACAGGGGTTTGTTTTCCCTGGAGGATGTGGTGAGGAATGCCGATGTATAGGGAGTGGACGAGGGATGAAGGCACCCGCAGGCAAGGAGAAGAACACCCATGTCCGGATCTTTCCTCAGGAACCCAGACAAAACCCCTCAAAAGCAACTTCTCCCTCGCCTCAAGCCCGACCGGGGCGCACAAGGACGGCAGCCCAGCCCCGGGCGCGGCTCCGGGCAGCGGACAGGCGCCTCCTCGAGCGGCGCCCCCGCTCCTGACGGCGCTTCCGGCCGGGGGAGCCGGGATGTGCGTCCGGGTTGGGTCGGCCCCAGCGGGCGGTTTCCTCTCCCTCCCCTCCGTCTACTCTTCCCTGCGCCCCTGCACCGCCGTGCCCTCGGAGGGAGCGCCGCCCGCTCCGTGAGGGGTTGGTGAGTGGGGCCGCGGGCGGGCGGGGATCGGAGCCAGGGCGCCCCGGGCCATGGGCGGGAGCGGGGCCGGGGCTGCGGCAGGGGCCGGGGCGGCCAAGCCTCCACCCTCGGCGTGGCCCCTCGGGCAGGGCCGGGAGGTGCCGGTGGGATGGATCCCTGTGGGGAGACTCGTGGGTGGCTGCCTCTGTTCTCGCCCAAAATGGCCATGCGGCTTCCCGGTGCTAACGGGGCTTGCCGAGCTCCGGGTAGCCGGCTGTGTTCCTGCTAATGCCGGCAGGAAACATTATCTGTCCGAGCGAGCCGAGCCAAGGGATCGGATAGCCGCGCCCTGCCAGCACGAGTGTGAGCGTGGTGATGGGCAGAGCCTTTAAAACGGGAGTATTTTCCCCTCCTTCGAAAGCAGCGTGATCTCATTCTTGGGAGGAAATTTGCAGCTGTAAAATGTTGCTGTGATGATATCCCGGCACGGCAAAACGTGGGGGAAACGTAGCTTTTATCAGGTGGGCAGTGGTAAAGTTGCAGCAAGTCCGAGGGTGGTCAAGAGAGACTTCAGAGCCTTGGAGCAGCTGGTTAAGGGAGCGGGAACACAAGCAGTGTTCTCTTCTGGCCTTCCACTCACAGGGAATGAAATAGGAAGAAAGAGGAAGAGCCTGGTGTTACAGGCAGAATTTTGATCTTTTTGGTGGTGGGTCAGTCTACACAACAACCCTGCCTGCTGCCAGTAGATTGGGTGCATCTGTTTCGAAAGAGGAAACTTTACAAGAGTTAGTAGGACTCACTGAAGTAGTCTTAGACTAGATGTGAAAGGGAAAAGGGATAAAACCAGGCTCCCTAGAGAAAAGTTTGGGTGAGGCATACATTTGAGGGATGGAGGTCCAGAGAGTGGTGGTGAGTAGATTTAAATCCATGTGGCAGCTGGTTGCTGGTGGTGTTCCCCAGGGCTTGGTGTTTGTGCCAGTCCTGTTAAATAACTTTACCAGTGATCTTGATGAAGTGATCATGTTCACCCTCTGTCAGTTTGGAGGTGACACCAGGTTGGGTGGGAGTGTTGGTCTGCTGAAGGGCAGGAAGGCTCTGCAGAGGCATCTGGACAGGTTGGATTGGTGGTCCAAGGCCAGTTGTGAGATGAAACAAGGCCAAGTGCCAGCTCCTACACTTGGGTCACAAAAACCCCATATAGAGCTACTGGGGATAGAGTGGCTGGAATGGGGCCCAGTGGGAAAGGACCTGGGGGTGCTGGTCAGCAGCAGCTGAGCATGAGCCAGTGTGTGCTCAGGTGGCCAATAAGGCCAATGGCATCCTGGCCTGTATCAGCAATAGTGTGGCCAGCAGGAGCAGGGCAGGGATTGTCCCCTTGTTCTCAGCACTGATGAAGCCACACCTCAAAATCCTGAGTGCAGTTCTGGGCCCCTCACTGCAAGAAGGAATTTGAGGGGCTGGAGAGTGTCCAGACAAGGGCAGTGAGGGGAAGGGTCTAGAACACAAGTCTAATGAAAAATGGCTGAGGGAGCTAGGGTCATTTAGCCTGGAGAAAAGGAAGCTCAGGGGAAATGTTATTGCTTTCTACAACTGCCTGAAAGGAGATTGTAGCAAGGTGGGGTTTGGTCTCATCTGCAAGTAACAAGCGATGGGACAAGAGGAAATGGCCTCAAGTTGTGCCAGGGGAGTTTTAGGATGGATATTAGAAAAAATTCTTCACTGAAAGAATTATCAAGTATTGCAAAAGGCTGCCTGGGGCAGTGAGGCAACATCACCATCCCTGGAGGTATTTGTGGCACTTAGGGACACGGTTTAGCACTTGGCAGTGTTGGGTTAATGATTGGACTTTGCTGATCTTTGAGGTCTTTTCCAACATTAACGATTCTGTGATTTTGTAGTTCAGTGCCTCCATTTCTTCCTCACTAAGAAAAAAAGCCACCAAAACATCAGTGAAATATCTTTGCATTAAGCCGAATAAATTATTCTCTACTTCTAATTTTTATTAATTTTCAGTTTGTAAGTGTCAAAGCAAAGCTAGTTAAATAACTTGCCGGAGGTCACTTAAGCAATCTGTGACAAAGACAGAAAGAAATTGTACTATCTATATGCACCCTAATCTGTGTGATCATCTTGCCTCTTGTTTTCTGTTCACAGCATTTTGATGAACATAATAGCTATTTACTTTGTTGACAGAATCAGTAGTTTCCTGAATAAACCAGAGAGTCACCTGAGACGCAAAGATGTTGGAAGAAGATATGGAGGTGGCCATCAAGGTGGTAGTAGTAGGAAATGGAGCTGTTGGGAAGTCCAGTATGATTCAGCGATATTGCAAGGGGATTTTTACAAAAGACTACAAGAAAACTATTGGTGTAGATTTCCTGGAAAGACAGATCCAGTATGTATTAAACAGATGACATACTATTGATTTTTACCTCTCTCTCTATTTCTCTTTTCTGTTGTAATCCTGACACTTTGAAGGCTTGGAAAACAAAGCCTGCTGTTTCTGAAGCACACTAAAAGGAGTTGTTTTCTCTCTTGCACTGTGGGCTAAAGTTATATCCTTTATTCTCCATCCAAAATTTAAAATTATAAATAAAATCTGGAATATCTGGCATACCAGGCTCTTTGACAAGTTTGCTTTGTATTCTACCACCAGCTGATTATTTTTAATTTTTTTAATGATTTCTTGTGAAGAAGTAAAACTGCTTATGATAAAAAAATTACACAAATTTGTTAGCTAATGTAGAAAAAAATTACTGTGAAAAAATGAGTAAGTGTCTTTATGCAGTATGAGCAGGTAATACCCTATTATGTTGGTGAAGTGGAAAATTGTATGATAATGAGAAGTAAGAAAATTCTGTAAGTTCTGCAAGCTGATGAAAAAGGCAAAAGCACCATTCCTCAGGCACCTAAGTTTTGTTTTGATGTCTATCTTATTTTTCACTGTAGAGGGAAATGTAGAGGAAGAGGAAAATATAATACAGATTGTCTGTAAAGAGGATATAATGTAGTTGAGGGACTATTGCCATAGTATGTTATGAAGGTGAATGAATATTAATAATAAGTTGCATTATGTTAAATCCAGTTAAATTTTATTTGGATTACTCCTATAGTGTAGAAACAGAAGTATTTCCATGACATTTGCTTTGATTTGTTCCTGTTACTGTATTGATGACAAAACTGTCTTGTTTATTTCAGAGTTAATGGTGAAGATGTCAGGCTAATGTTATGGGACACTGCAGGTCAAGAGGAATTTGATGCAATAACTAAGGCCTACTATAGAGGTGAAAATGCCATGTTTGTTGTTTGGTAGTTGAGGTTTTCTTGGTCTGCACATCTCTAAAATATTTTCATATCTTTATATTAGAAATTTTAGTTATTTCATGTGTGTGCAAAGCATGCTTAGTTCAGCTTTTTCAATTCTTAAGTATTTTTTCTCTTTGTGCAAGTTGCTTGTCTTAATTATGTGCACTTTATGCATTAGTGCCCTTTAGAAAACATTGAATGAAATGAGACAAATGTCTGCACAGAAACTGGACAGAGTGTAGACATTCAGACAATCAGATGCAAATGTGTATTATCCCTCTAAAAGTGTTTCATTACTTCTGTGAGACACACATTTGTAAATATTCCAAAAACTGTGGATGAGGCACATAGGAATTAATCCAAGGTGGGGAAATCCACCAGTCATCCTGGAAAGACAGTTTACAGGGCACAAGAGTTCTTTTGCTAGTACAGTGTGCCTCAAATACATTAAAGAGCAGTAACAAAAGTGTATTTACTTCAAATGAACTGTATCAAATAAACTGTATTATTTGTGTAAAGGCAGCTTATCTATTTAACCTGTTTCAAATTGCGTACTTAAGCTTTCTTTGCTTATAATTTAACAATCGTTCTGTAAATACATCTCTTTGGTTTTTTTTTTTTTAATGGGAGAGATACAAATGATTTGGCAAAGATACCACTGTTCAGTTCTTGCAAATTAATTACCTGAGATGGGGGGAAAATATACTGCTCTGGTATAAAATTACCTTATTTGGAGATAAAGTAATGATTATGCCAGGCTGTTTCAGGGTGTTAGAGTCTTATGATTGTTTTATGTTTCATAATCAATTTGCTAATTGGTGGGGGTTTTTGGTGATGCTTCCTGTTGTTGCCTGTGATTGATGATTACTACTGACTACTATCAGAAAAAGGTCTTCTTTTGTCATGTGGATATAAATAATTTCCAGCTGACAAGCTGAGCATACGAATTTTGGATGATAGTAGTTGATTCTCTTGGAGCTTCCGTTTCACTGTCCTGGCCTTTGCTCCTCTTGTGTGCTTTGCTCTCCCCAGTTGTTTCAAGCCAAAGACTTTTTTCTCCTAATTACTGGGACTGATAGGTTAGAATATGGAGCACTGAGAAGAACTCAGGACTACAGCTACTGGCCTCACTTACCACAAGCAACCTGCTGGTTTAAAAACAAAATAAAAAATTTGCACTAATACCTTGAAATCGTGGTTATGACTCAAGCCCAGCATAGTGCTGTTAGATTTCTGCTTGGAGTTCTTTGTACAGAAGTTCTCTCAGCACAATCAGCCTGTTCACATTCTAGCAGCATGATGGGTATGCAATAAATAGTTCAAGGTGTCAGATGCAGAGACTGCTCTACCCTACACTTTGACTCATGAAGGATGAGGAAAATTGGAAGAGCCTGGAGTGCAGTTTTGGTCTAGCCTCAGCAATCATACTATTATAGAAGAAAAAGTGAAGCTTACTTTGGAAATGCCAGGCTTTTATTGTTAATAAGGGGAGGGCACCTCTAAGATAGGTCAGATAGATGCTGGCTGTTAATTTAAGGTTTGCTTCTCCCATAGGTCACTGTCCCACTATCATTGCACTGGGGCTTATGTACTCCCCTGGGACACTGTGTATTGTCAGTTCCTCAGTGCTCACCCAGGAATGCTTCAGAGCCTGTCTGAGTGTTTCTTGTCCAGGGACCAAATTCATTCAGCCTTGCAGAGAAAGAGCACTGGAGCTGACACTGGATTTGTTGTGTGGTTTCCTATGTGCAGGCAAGTGTGTGCAGCCAGTGCAGTTGCATGCCCACAGTCACACAGTGCAAGGAGTACAGCAGCCTAAATTCAGAGCTGAAGGAAGCACTGTATATATTTAATAAGTTCTTTTTTGTATTGTCCCATGCATCTTCTCAGCAGCTTCTATGTGATTGAAGTCAAATGTTTCTCAAAGCAGTATTTGATAATTTCTTCGTGCATGTATCTTCTTCCTTCTAGTACCACTGGTGTATCTTGAATATCCTTGCTAGGTTTTTGATGGAAGACAGACATCTTGCTCATTAGTGTGTTACTCAGTTGCTGATTAGTCAAATTGTCATGATCCTCATTTTGTTGCAAAATAGTTCATTCTTCATAATCAAGCCTTCATAGGATTGCTTTCATTTGCATTTGTTAATTTGTCTGTAGCAAATATGATAATGGAAGGCTCTCGTACAGTTATTTTAGGTACTGTCAGGGAGACATTAAATCCTGCTGGGTCTGTTCTATCAAAGACAGGCAGGATCCACAGAAGTTAAAACATCAGCAGTAAACAAGAATTTCTGGATGATAATACTGGATTTTGATCTCAGTGTGAGATTAAACAAGTCACCACCAGTTTTATAGGGAATATGTGCTTTCTGTTGTAGCTTGGATAGCTGAGGCAAAGTACTGAGTGAAATGAGTAGGGTCAGGTATAAAGCCTGTGAGAGTCCTCTCATGGCAAGGAATTTCCTTACACTTTCTATTACAAAGGCTTTGTACCTTTATGAAAGGAAAAAAATGTGTAGTCTATGTGGATAGGATAGTCTGCTGAGGCAAATTCAGCTGACAAGCTCATGCTTTACTTGAATTAAGTAGCACTAGTCTCTAAATTCTTTTCTGAATTGCTCTAGGTATAAATATTATGTCAGTGATTCTGCAGGCAGTTGAAGCATTTTAAAATATAGAGGAATTATCAATGCAGTAATTGCACACAATGTCATTTTCTTCAGTACTTTAAAGTAGCTTTTTGGAACAGCTTCTTACAAAGGAACTTTAATTTAAAATATTCATTGAGAGCATCCTGAGCTGTTATGTTCCTGTTTGACATGATCCTGAGCCTTTGCTGCTGGTGCCTGTTGTACATAATCTGCTGTATGACAGAGGTGGTGTATGACTCCATTAGCAGTGGATGACTGACATAGTAATGGTACTGACTCTTGAATACTGTCAGTGCCTGCATAAAAAGGTGTTTATGTGGTTAAATTCTAAGGTTTGTCTATTTTTGTCCTCCTTAGAACTCTTAGATGGATAATATAATTTCTTAAATTGTTTATGTTTTCAGTAAAATTACTGAGTATTTAGCAGATTTCTTGAAGATGAAAAGAATTTGCATATTAAAATCTCTTCTCTGCAGTGTCTTCTGTTGAACTCTGTTGCCATACTAACTTCTGCACCATACTGCAGCACACTTCAGAAAGATCACAGTTGATGCAGTTTTGCATTGAACCTGAGAAGAAAAACTACTTTTGTCTTCTCTTCTTAAATAAGCATCTTACAGAGTTATTGGATTAGTTAAGTCTGACATTTATGATCCAGTGATTGAAAACTTTTGCAGATGTTTGGAAATACACAATAACACGAGTGTATAGAATTTCTCTTTGTTGATGACACTTTGTTTTACTGTTGTTTGTTGTAATAATCCTGAAGGTCCTCAAAAATATTTCAGTGTGACTCTTTATTAAAGCCTGTCATATAATTTCCTTTTGAAATGAATATGGGCAAGCTGAGGTATTTTTACTGTCCTTGGCCTGCATTCTACCTATACTATATGTAAACTGAATAAAGTCTGATGTAGTATGCTACCTTCTCTTTACTTACCACATGCCAGGGCTTTTCCCTCTAAACTTACTGTTACTTGTGGTAGCATTCAGAAGGAATGGGTGGAAGGAGAAAGATGAAGTGAAGGTGTCTTAGTTTGGAAACTTCACAAAGGATTTCTTGGTCTTGAAACTGAACAAAGTGATGTTTACAGATGGTGGGAGTATTTTAATAAATGCTCTCATCTCCATTATGCTACTATGTGAGATAATAGGCAAATGCAAACTAACCTGCTTTGGAAGGAATAATGTATTTTACACCTTTGCTGCAGGAATTGCATCAGAATAATTGTGTATAGAGTACAGTGTGGACAGTAGGGAAAAAAACAGTTTTACAACACAAATAATAGCAGACATTATGGAAGGGTGCATTGCTGCTTTTTTACTGGTAGAGCTTCAGTTGAAGTTCTTAGGGCAGTTCTTACTGTTTTGTATAAAACCATACCAGAAGAGTCTTAGTATGCATATGGAAGAATGTTAAAGAGCAAAAGAGCATAGGAAATCTTTCTGGAAATAGACTCTGAACTTGGCTTTTAAAAAGCTAAATAACAGCAAACCTAGTAAGAGAACTTGTGTGCTTTGTGCTAGAGAAATAGAAAGATAAACAGAGAACAGGAATCAGGGATACTTCATGAAACTCAGAAATAAAATCCATACTGATGAAAAATTTTTCATGCTGTATGACATTAATGGGAGATGTTCACCACAAGATTATGCTAGAGTCTCAAAAACACTGGCTATCTATCCTTTCATACTCTGTTACTAAATAACTAGCACATTGAAGGCATATAAATAATGAAGTGTGCAAAGAAAAGCACTTTCTGAAGAATAACACAGGGCTACTGGACAGTTAAAAGACCAAACACTAATATTTCAGCTGTGGAGGTACCTTCTCAGTATCCATGAAGTTTAACTGTTGTTTATTTACAAAACTGTTAACAAAGGGTTTTGTATAATTTATTGTCGTGCTCTGATAGAATTATTAGACTATCTGATAGTATTAATTAGAAGCACACTTCTTTTCCCAAAAAAGCTACTAACAATTTATTTGAAATAATCACAACTTCATCTGAAAACTTTTTAAAGTTTTCTGCTTTTCAGAATCCAGATTACTGTACCACAAAAAATAATGTGAAATGTGCTTTACAGATGCTGTATACAGGAAAAAATCTGCCTCCTGGCCTCCATTAATCTGTCTATAAAACAGTAATAAATGAACCTCCCCTTCCCCTTTTCTAGCCTTTCCAGACCTCCTTCTGTTCCTTTCCCCTGCATACATTCAATATGCTGGAATTAGCTTTAAAGGTAACAGACCCATAGTCATCAAAAAGATGGCTGTAATGATCAAAGTAATATGGCAATGAATTTTCATTTAGGCAATCTATGACCAGCAGTTTGACACAAACTTGTAGTAAAAGTGCATGTTTGTGGGAAAAACTTTAAAAATCCCTCATATTTTAAATAATTACAATTTTTTCTATTGTTTATTGGCTAATTTGGGTGTATTTGTAATTTATTTGTATATTTCTAGGAGCCCAGGCTTGTGTTCTTGTGTTTTCTACAACTGACAGAGAGTCCTTCAAAGCAATCCCCACCTGGAAGCAAAAAGTTGTGACTGAAGTTGGAGACGTTCCCACAGTTCTTGTGCAGAATAAGATTGATCTTCTTGATGACTCTTGCATAAAGAAGTAGGAATTCTATTGTAGTACTTTTAAAGATCAATAGGTGCCTCCTGTATTCACAAGTTTTAAAAAATGAAGTCTGTGAGAGTTTGTGGTGAAGAGTTAGAGTATCTGGGTTGTCCTACCTGTGTCCTGCGTCTAGACATGCCTTAGAAGCACACGGGGTGGGTGTTGCTGCATGACTGTAGATAGTCACACTTGGGCAGATGTGCTGCAAAACTAGGAGCTTTTTTCCCCTAAAAATCTAAAACTATAGATTTTCTCTCCTGTTAAATTTCAGTTACCTTTAAACTGTGCTGTGCACCATTGAAGGCACATTGTCTGTTCGGCTAGTAAATGCTTGCTAATATTCTTTGCTTTCTTTAATTCATTTTTTATTATTCATTTTTATCAAAACATTGTGACTCTGTAGAAATATGTATGTGGTAATATTCTCAAACTGCATGGTGCTGAATCTTCCTTGCTGTATTTTTCTTTACAGATTTTATCAATTCATTCTGCCCTTGTGTGTGTGTATGACCAATTTCATTCTTGTCGTAAAATCAGCTTAACAAATGTGTTTATTTATCACAGCATTTCATGTAGAAAATAGTGCATGATCAAGTTGATCATTCTCCACTTCTTCAATTTCTATCATCTTCCTGAGAGATTTAAAGTATTTCTTCTTTTTTTGTTGTTTCCTGCACTGGCTTTCTTTGTTGTCTGTTTGCTATCATTGATGGCATAAATCAGCTTCTACTTCTTCTGCAAAGAATTCTGAGGATTTTTCAAAGGAAAAGCAAAATTGCATTTGAACTCCTCCTTTATTCATGGTATGTCACTTAGGTTTGGTTCTCAGAATACTCTGTCAGCCTCAGTAACATAATCTTTCTGATGATTTGATTTTCCTTAGGGGAGTATTCGTAAGTGTCTTAAACTTTAATATAAGTTCTTTTTCACTTCACAGAAGAAAGTTAATTCTTTATTTCATCTGTGCACTCATCTGATTGCATAGCATACTGCTTCATTAAGATATGCTTAAGGATTAATTTTTGTTGTTGTTTAGAGTTTGCAGTGATAGTGCTGTTAATTACAGCCTCCTTCCTTTTGGTTTCACCGACACACTTCTTTGAACCCTTGGGAAGTTTTATGTAATGAAGTCAATAAATACTGGAAAGAATTCCTTTGAGTCATAAAGACACTGCATGTAAAATACCTTCTTTTTATAGTGGAGATACTGTAAAGAAATTAAGGATTAGGTATTTTTTGACTGTCTTGAATTTCTCAACCTACTTTGCCATGTTTAACTTAAAGCAAAGCATTTTTTTTATAAGAATAAATGCTGAGGAATGAGCCAAGTAAGGCCTTACAAAGCCGTCTTGTGTTGTGCAGTGAGGAGGCGGAAGCGCTGGCAAAGAAGCTGAAGGTGCGGTTCTACCGAGCGTCGGTCAAGGAAGACCTGAACGTGAGCGAAGGTAGGCGGTGCTCCGGGAAGGGGTGTGGGTGAGGGAAGGAACGTGAGCGAAGGTAGGCGGTGCCGGAGGGAGTGGGTGAAGGAAGGAACGTGAGCGAAGGTAGGCGGTGCTGCGGGAAGGGGTGTGGGTGAAGGCAGAGCTGACCGTGAGCGAAGGGAGGCGGTGCCGGGAGGGAGTGGATGAAGGCAGAGCTGACCGTGAGCGAAGGCAGGCGGTGCCGCGGGGGTCGTGTCCCGTCCTGCCGCTGCTGCACGGCCTGAGCATCCCCCCGGGTTAGAGCCAGCTGGCTCTTACACATCCTTGCATGACGGTGGCAGCCCTCATTATATTCCATCGCAGCACGCCTTAAACACAGTTAAAAACTACATGTGTTCAGTGGGTTAGGCCCATTTCTGTGTGCACATCTTTCTCTTCCACAAACACACACAGCTGCGAGGTTCACAAGTGCCAGTGTGTTATGGCTCCTCAGTCCTAATGACTGGCAGTAAGCACGAGCTTTTAAAACAAATAGACATAGTAGAAGCTCAATTATTGCAACATAAAAACTGTTGAACAGATTATTTTGTAATTGTTAATAGTTAATAAGTAATTTATAGAAACAATTATTTTATATTTTAGTCCTATTTAGATAAAGTACATTAAAAGATTGCATCTCTTGCAGTGTTTTGTCTACTGGTGATATTTGATTAGTTCCTAAGTACCACTTTTAATGTACGTAATTTCATAAGAGTAGTGTTAAAATGTTGAGTCTATGTCTTTTGTGGACTGGGTTTGAATAATCATGTATTAGACTCCCTAATGATATATTCTTGTTTAATTAGCCAAGATTATTAGTAAACTCCCTGTTTCTTCTATATTAACATCATTCACCATGGGAAAAATTTGCAAGAGAAAATGTAAAAGTCTTTTGTATCGTCTTTAAATGAGTTTCATTACAAATGTAAATAATCATAACACATATAGGTTCTGAAAATTCTGTTTAAGTTGTATATATTTTCAGATTCCTAGGTCAACTTTATATACGCCAATAGAAATGAGAGTAGCATTAATTAATTAGAAAAACCTTGTTGCCAAGTTTTATTAATAGATTATTTTACATGACTACTGTTTTTCTAATGCTTCTTGCAAAATATATATATATATATATGTGTGTGTGTATATAAATATAAAATTCCTACATTAATTGTATATTGAATACATGTATTGTATATTGTATACAATTGTATATTGAATACAGGACTGTAACAAGTTTCAAGTTGCATCAATTGAAACATTTGGCAATATGTGTGTGCCTTTTTTTTTTTTTTTTTTTTATATAAGAGCATTGAGATATTTCTGTGCAGGACTTCAGTACTGCAATCTGTAAGAGCTGGGCTGACACTGGAGTGACCGGGATTCTGCTCAGGCACACAGGCTTGCCCAGAATCACTCACCAGCTTGTGCTAAACCTGGGATGTGAAATGCACTTTTTTCACCATACAGAATTTTGATATAATGGCATGATGATTATTATTATTTTTAAGCATTCTGTAATGTACCTTTTTTTTTTAACCTTCCAGTTTTTAAGTATTTGGCTGATAAATATCTTCAAAAGCTCAAGCAACAAACAGCAGAAGATTCAGAAATAGTACATACAAGCAGTAACAAGATTGGTATGTATACTATAATAAAAAATCCCTAGAAACAGTATTTTGTGCCATCAAAGCTTATGGTCTCATATGTTTCCTTATGGAATTAATACAAAGTGAATCAGAGTCGAACTATTACCTTCATATCTTAGGATATCTCTTTCTGTAAAATAACTTCGTGACTTTCAAATTACAAGATGGCGAAACTGATGCACAGAAGTTTCTAGCTAATGCTTGGCAAGTGCCCTTTTACTAAATTCATTTAAACAAGATTGTGCAAGGATTTGAGAAGGATGCTTGTTGGGTTTTTTAATGTAATTATCATTACATAGCATTGCTCATCTCGGTGTGGACTTAAAAGACTCATGGGGAAAGAATCTGGCATGTAATCAGAAGGTGTTTGGAAGTTGCCTTCTGTAAGAAAACACTGAACTTCTGTACTTCTTCTTTAAAGCTTTTTTGAGTCAGTTAATTTATTTTCCTTAAAGCACTCCCTTTTTATTCCAGTCTTTTACTTACCTTTATATCAACAAAGTTTCTGAATTTTAAATCTACATCTCTCTGTTATGTTACTCGACTAACCACAACTTTGTGCAGTTAGTAACATACACATACACAGATGAGTACATATGCTGCCCTTCAATTACATAGGTGCATACCAGCTTTAAATACTGCCTGGCTAGTAATTGCAACTGCCTCTACTTCCAATTTAGCTGCAAAATTTACTCAAAATAGATTTAAAGCTAGTGCATACATTTGAGGTGCTGTGCTATGCCTTACCAGGTACTGCGTCTAAAATGTTCATGTATTATGCTGCAAGCAGTAAACAAATGCAAATGCTTCTCTTGTCTGAATTCTGTAGGTGTTTTTAATACAGCTGGTGGAAGCCACCCCAACCAGAATTCTAGCACTCTTAATGGTGGAGGTGTCATCAACCTTAAACCCAACAAACAGAGGACCAAGAAAAACAGAAGTCCTTTTAGCAACTGCAGTATACCTTAGACCACTTTTGGAGGAAATTAAGCAGCTCAGAGAATTGGATGAAGTTGTGCAATTGACTACAGAATAAAGCCAGCTGTAGAGGTATTTTTACCGGTGCTTTAGCAAATCTTGTGCCTCCTAGACAGAGGGTGGATTTTGATGAACTTGCTGACGCCGTGGGTTTGTTGTGTGCCGTGAGACACCTGGTGGTGACACACAGAACCGTGGCTGCCTCGTGCACTTTGTACAGATTGGGTGAGCTTTTCCTTTCTCAAGGAATTACTTACAGAGCTATGAACTAGGTATTGCTGAATTGCAAAGCACATTTAATGTAAGGATAATACTTACACGTATAGGTACGGACTGTAACCCTATGGCCCAAGGTAATGTAGCAACCTTGAAACTAAATTTCAAAGAAAATATTAGAATTGGTTAGTCAGGACACTTAACAAGATAAATGAAGAGCAAAAAAACACTACTTCATTTTATGCCTGACCACATTAATATTCTGCCAGGATTCTGGCAGTTCTGTGGGTGCAAGATCCTTGCATTATATATGTATGTGCTAAGGTATTTATGTAAACATTTGGGATGAATATCTAGGCTTGGTTCCAATGTGTACATTACTTGGAGATCAGCTAATGATCATCAGATAGCATCTTCTAATTGTCCTTTAAAAATGTTGCATTTCAAATGAGGCTTTCCAAGCTGTCACTGTGTATGTTTAACTTGCTATACTTCGGGCCTAAAAGCTTAGATTTAAAAATGTGTGGTGCCAAAAATGCTCCCTTTTACCTAATGCTATGCTACAGATGTTTTGTAAGTTTGTTTTTCTCAGTCTTAACAGGTTGAACAAATAACACTAATAGCTATTCAGAAGGAACATATAATCATATTCTTGTTCAAATTTGATTGTTGTATCCTGTGTCATCTTATGAAAAAGGAATTTTCAAAGTGGTGTTACAAAGTATTTATCTTATTTGAAATTTTTTCCATAGATACCATAAACTGAGTTACAGGGATCCAAAAAATTGCAGCTGATTATGTTAGGGAGACATTCTTGAATGTTGTCTCAGATTTAAAGTTAAGGAAATCTAATTCTGCAAGATGAGAGACGTGGCAAAAAATTTTCAAAATTCTTCAGTAATTTTACAGAACTGATGTAGATGTTTAGGAGTCCAAATCTAACTTCAAGGTTATTTGGGCTAAGGCTCCTAAGTCACTAAGGTGCTTTTAAAGATGCTAAGCAAGATACCTTTTATTTAGCAAAAATGAACACTTTATAATCCTCTTCAAGAGTATGCATGCCTTTTAAAAACTATCCATTTTGTTTACATGTTTTTGTATGGTATGATATAATTTTAACTTTCTAAGATTTCTACAAGTCTGCCAGTGACAAATGCAAAATCTGCTGCTTAAAAAAATCAGAGTTTTAATAATTTTGTAAATGGTGTATGAGAATGAAAATTGGTTGAGTGATCCTGTATATTTTTGAAGGAAGGACTTTTCACTATGTGAATTCATGTAGGAAGCTTGACTGACTTTGTTTCTAAGTCAATGAGTATGAAAACTGAAATGTATTCTTATTCCCACTGTCTGCAGGGAGAGGAGTGAGTGGCAAGTTATGCACAAACACTAAAGATCTCTGAACTCTGTATTTTATGTTTACTGTATTAGGCTTTGTACCGAGTACCACAGTTTCTTTGACAAGCTGTTAGAGATCTCCTGTTGCTGGCAAGAAAGAGGGCACTCCATCCCTTTTGCTATTGCAACAAAATGGTGTGTTCTTCACTGTAATGTTTCATTTCCTGTGTTTTCTCTTGGATAAAGGCCTCTATTTTTTAACAAGTGCATTTAATCACTGTATGTATAAATGGAGTCAAGTCCTGTCTTAGCAGTTTAAGAAGTAAGGCACTTGGGATAAGATGATTGAACATCATGGGGCCACCTCACAACTTAGGGGGGAGTGTATGCATGAAGAATGTTGACAGCTGTTTTTAATATGGAAACTTTTACATTTCACTGTCTGTCTACAAGTTTCATGGGGTTTTATTCATTTTTCATGAAAAACAAACAAAACCACAAAGTGTTTGAAACATCTTTTTTTGCCTTGTTTGACTTTGTACAGCGTACTGAAAAGTAAGTCTTTATTATGTATAATGAGAATTTCTACTATTTTATGTTATACTGTAACACACTGTACAATTACTTAGGTTGTTTGTATTTAGAGTATGTCACTATAAATTACTGCTTTTAACAACTCAGCAGTTGTTTCATAGGTGGAGACTTGACAGACTTGATAAATTTAAGGTATGTTGAAATGTAGTGCATATACTTCAATATAGGAATAGTTACTTGCAGCATTGGGTAACAGTGAGTTTTCATTTTACTCCCACCCGAAATCTGAAGTGGATCTTTCTTTGTTGAGACCTTGTAGTACTTGTTCTCTAACATGACTGTGATGGAAACTGCTCAGATTAACATCGTCCTGGGAAGTGCCCTGCATGTACGCTGCTTCAAAATTTTGCTTCTTTATTCTACGGGGGTTAGTGTGTAGGTGTAAACCAGATGACTTGCATATTGCAGGAACCCCTTAGGTATTCACATCACTCTTCAGTGGCACTAACTATTGCCTTTTGGAAGAAGACACATCCCTAAATGTTTTAGCACTTGTGTTGTCCCTCATGAATATAATATAATATAGTTTTTGTTATAAACATTACTTCATTCTCCACTCAAAGTGTACTCATTAAAATATCATATGTTTTAGTTAGCAAAACCTACAGGTGCAGGGCTGGTAATAAAAATGCTCTTCTTTTTGCATCCCTGGGACTGCATGGTGGGTGAGGAGGTGCCTCTGTTACATCCATGATACCCTGGATTAAGAGCAAGAGATTCTTGCGCCACAAGACACAAATTTCATTGCAGTCCTGTAGATTCTTCTTATATCACTTGAATAGCTCATTGGCTGTATTATCTGGATCTTGCCACAATTCTTTGCCCTTGGCTGATAAAGCTACCACTGGCAGGAAACTTCAATGATTGTTAATGCCTTAGTGAAACAGGGATTCACTAAAGATTATGACACTACAGCTTTGTCACTTCTCTGTTGTATCCATTCAGTGAATGGGTGTTCTCCCAGTACGTGGGGCATTGTTAGATGCAAAGCAGTAATGCTAGGGATGTATTTCCAACTGGAAATAGCAAATCTCAAAGTTGTATGACTGATCACACTAATTTTTGTGTTTGTGGTTAATTTTGTGTGTGTGGTTAATTTAAAAAAGACTTTAAATATTCCACTTAAGACAATTTTGAAGCTTCCTTATTTTCAGTGTTTCTTAAGGCAACACTTTTGTAGTCAAAATGCCTGAATTACCACACTGTCAGTCTGATTTCCTGTTTAATTTTTATGCTTCAGTAAAATATAACTTTTTACTTTTTTCATTATTGGGCTGAAGCACATCTGACACGAACTTTTCCTTCGCAGCATTTGAAATGGGATGGTCTAAAGAGCATTGAGCAGCTGAACACGCAGCACTCTGGGGGGTTATGTGGGGTACATGCACAAGACTCAGCAAGCCTTGAAGCTGTTCATGCACCTTCTTCAGGCTGAGAGCTGCAGGTATTAACAGGGTGAATGATCTGCCCTTCTCTGTGGGAGTTCATCATTCAGCAAGCCAACACACATGCTGCTCCATTCCAGGACACTACCTGAGCCCCTGCTGCTTTTCTAAGTGTAGTCATAGACCTTAGGCTGAAGTTCCAGTACCTGAACACTAACTGTACCAAAATTAGAGTGCAAGGATGGTCCAGCAGGCTTGAATTCATCTAAATGACCTTGCCATCTTTTTGAAGGAGGCAAAAGTTATGCAGATCTTCTTTCTAACACACAAATAGTATTGAGAGAAGAAAATAATTCTCTGTTAAATATGGCATCCAAGCAGATAATCAAAGCAATGCTTAGATTTAAGATGAAAGGTGCCTGTAATGGAATAAGAGAAACCTGCTAATGCTCTGTGTCAAAGTGTTCTATATGAGTCATCTCAAAGCCAGGTGAGTCCTAGTACTGGACTGGGCTCATTCTCAGGTTTCTAGTGGAAGGGTAATACTGATAAATAGTTTGTCAGTTCTGCCAAACTCACTAAAGTTGATAAGAAAAATTAAAAATTATTGTGGACCAGAAGAAACACCACTCTCATTGTGAGGATTAAGATGCATTGTTACTAATGGTTTAAATGCAACTGGCTAAAAGAGGAAATGTACATAACTGGTTTTATCACCGTCATGATCTCAAGTAAATGTAACAGATCTGTAGAAAAAAAAGTCAACATACCATAAATCCTCAATCAGAAGAATCAGTGTTTAAAACTCAGTATCTTGTGTATGCTGTTCTGTAAAATCCCTACAAATTAATTCTGCTGTTCTCTTGTAAGTGACACTAGTTGCATTATGCAACTTAAAACGTTTGTTTGCTTATTGTTGTCTGATATGTCACTACTTTTGTGGTTATGTTAAATTGTCAGTACATTAAATTTCAAAAATTGCTGCAACTACAAGCTGTGCAACCTTAATCTGATTGAGAAACGTGCTTGATTCTTGGGTGTGCGTTGCCAACAGCTGGATCAAAGGCAGCACATGAGAGCACTGGCAGGAACAAGTGTGGATGCCCCAGACAAATAGAAATGGTGTTTCTTAGCTCTTGCCTCTGATTTCTTTACCATGTGGTTGAAATACAAAATAGGGATTCTTTTCTGCTCTTTCTGGTCATTTTGCTTTTTATGATTGGTCTGGCCGATACAATGACAAGGTTCAAGATTGTAGACATTGGAAGTGGCATTAAAGCAATATTAATACATGAGAGATGCCTGGTACATTTTCTGAAAATAAACAGGTAAATAGCCACTAGTGGTTGTTGGTTGGGGGTTTTGCATTGTTTTGGTATTTTTGTTTAGTAAAACCAAATCAGCATTTGTGTCTGCCTCTTTACCCAGGTATCTGAAGAATATCAGAAATAACATCCTCCTACTTCTCTTGCATGCAGTTTTGAACATAGAAAATCAATGTGTTTGCTTAACACCCTGACAAGGATTAACTGGCAGTGTTTAGGCTCATTACAGAGGCATTGGACTAGATCACCTTCATCAGCCCCTTCTAACCCACTTCTTCTGGAATTCTGTGATTCCAACTAAGTGCTATACAAAATAAAAATTCTTCTAGGTATCAGTACAATGAAGAGGATCTAAGAAAGAAAACAAAAAGATTTTTGCCTGAATAACTTTATAATGACCTTAAAAACCCAAATACTGGAGAAATACTCTAATCAACAAGAAGCTGTCTTCAACTTAAGTGTTGCACAGCACAAGTTCTGAAAACAACCCCGGCCATGTATTACTGTCAAGGATTTTGATAATGTTGAACAGCCTGAAGATTTTTTTCAAGTGGGATTACAGAATTAACATCACCAACCTTAGAAACTTCTCACAATCTCAAAGCTGAAACTTGGACTGCATTTGAAGCACCCACCTGAAGTGCCATTTCTGCAAATTAAATGCAGTGACAGTGACCTCATAGCAGCTGAGGTTTCCAAGAAGGACAGCTCTTGAGTTTTCCTGCAGAGCCCTTGAGGCCATTCAAGGCATTTAAAACCACAGGACTCCTGACTGTTGGCTGTGCAGGAGCCTGATGTGCAGGGTCTCACCGTGGGCTGGTTCCCTCAGAGCATCCAGGTGTGACACTCCCAACTATAACACCCGAGGCACTGCACTGCCACCAAGGCAGCTGTGGTGGGGGGCATCACTCAGACCCTTTGGGCTCCCTTCAGCTGAGCTTTAACCTGCTGCTGGCTGAGCCAGAGAGTGCCCTGCTCCCCTCAGGGCACCGCCAGCCTTGGGTGAAGTACTGCAGGGGTACAGGCACACCCTAAAATCTGCACCTTCTGACCCACAGCCACAGAGCTCAGTGATGATGCGCAGCAGTTACTGTGAGTGAGAGGGTGGAAGATAAAAAAACAAACCAAAAACCACTCACACAAAGAGGTGAATAACGATGGATGTACAAAGTACCTTCCTACACAAGTCACAGATACAGTGTTTGCCTGGTGAGAAGTCAAAATGTTTTGCTCTGTGGCTTCAGAGATGATGCAAAAGTGGAGTAGTAGCTGACATACAATTCCCCTTTCTATTATCTTTTAGAAAACACATCAATCACAATCAACGGTACAATGAGCTTGTGGGAGCAGAATGGTTCACCAGGCATGGTGGGGGGATTTTGAGAGTCAGGTCATTTCTAGCCTGGCTGGTGATCCCTGGGACACACATACTGCTTTTACCTTCCTCAGTTACAAACTGGAGGTAGCTATCTCTAGAAAGTTCTGTGATCAGTTTATTCAAAGTATTTAAAAAGTGCAAAATTATAAATGGTAATGAGTAGGACACTGTGTTGTTTATGAAAATACCATAAACAGTTTATTAATTCTTTTGATTTATTGCCATATTTTGTCTTTTGTCCCCAAAAGTCCAGTTCACACACTATGTATACAGCAGAGAAAAGCTGAAATCTCATGATAGGACAAAACAACTTTAGTTTAAAAAACCCAGGAGAATGGAGGAAAGGCTAGATTTTCAGTTTCTGTCAGTTCAGCAGAAGCACAATTACAATTTGCAACAGAGCAGTATCAACTCTACAGAAGAACTGATAGCGTTCCTTACTGCCAAAAGAAAATGCCAATGCTACTAAAACCCATTAAATGCTTGCACCTGGCAATCAAAGATACTTTGGTGGGTGTGGATGTGTATATACGTGTGTGCTCGTACAGAGAATTCTTGTCTTGGCTTCTGTGTGCTTTTTATGGGCACTTGCTCATCCTGTGGTTTGCCGGAAGTAGCCGGGAGGATACGTTAATCCTGTTTGCTGTTGCAAGACTGCCGGACAGATGATTTCTGATGCTCCAGCAATGTGATGGACTTTTCAGAATTTTCCAAGTTTCTGAGCAGAGTCTCTAGGCGCCTTTTGATTTTCTTCTGATCCTCGATGGCACATCCGATGACCACGGACTGGAATTTCTGATCGATGGGTCCCGCCGGCACGTCGGACGTGCACGCGCCGTAAAGCGACATGAGGCGCATTTTGGCGTCTTCCAAATCGTCGAGGAGTTTGTTGACGATCTCATCGATCATCTTGGTGGCGTGCAGCAGGGACTCCTGCTGCTGCGCGTTGCGGATGGTTTCTACGGAAACCTCCACCGTGAGGGTTCGGCCCATCAGGCGATTCGCAGTCAAATTGAGTTCTTCTCTCTCACCTCAATTCAAAACAAGGAAATATTCTTGGTTACGGGCAAATACTTTCCTGTGCAAATAGCATCATCAAGATACTCAAACTGCTATAACTTGGCAGTAAACAATCTTTTTTTAAGTAAGTGACAATCAACAAGATTTCCAGAAGGCAGAAATGAGCTTTTTACATATGCCCAAGTCATACTCATTTCATAGAAGCCAGTATCTGATTTGAAATGAGGCATTAAACTCTACTAAAATTGTAAGCAATGTTTTTCCTCTGCTGACACAATGCTTGCCATGTCACTTTCAAGCAAAACATACAATATTATGAGGAGACACTTGGTAACAGAACTAGCTCATTAAGGACTTCTGTGCCTTTCTGAGGGAGAGCTTTAGACCTTCCCTGAAAGCCATAAAGAGAAAACTAGATATAATAAGAGGCCATGAAAAAACTGTTTTTCAATTTTCTGAAAGTATAGCTGCTTTTCAAAAATATGAGATGTAGGCTCTAGAAGAGCCAATAAACCAGCAATTTAAAGCACCTAATAATCAGGCTTAGGGAATATATTTAAAGCTGTGAATCACACAACAACGACAATGACCTTAATCATCAGGTTCTTGCAAGCTGTACCCTTTGTAGCATTCATGCCTGTCCAGTAGTCAAAATAATTTTCAACTATATTGTCATCATCATCATCAATGACTCTTCCCCAGCAGAGCAATGTTAATCTTGATTTTGAAAATGTATCAGTAAACTGAGTATAGGCTTTCACATATACAGTATGAATTTAGCCAAGAAGAGATCTCAGGATAATGAGTAACACTTCAACAGCCTCAGCTGGCTCCAATGCTGCACCCTTACCAGCAGTAGAGTGCTGCTCACAAAAAGCTGCTCACTAAAAGATGGGCTGATTAGACTTTGGGTCAGTTGGAGCGTACAGGAAAGCAGCTTCTCACCTTCACTGATGTGCCTCATATCCTGGCTGTTCTGTATATTGTGGATCATTTCAAGCAGAATTTCTTTCTCTTGTTCCATGGCAGATGCTGCATCACGGAAAGCCTCTACCCTGTACATGGTTGAACCAAACAAAATGTTTAAATAATAAAACAGCAGTTCACCTATACAGCTGCAAAGAACTCTACAACTTCAGCTTAGAGTAAGTGCAGTCAGATCTTGGTTATTCATGAGACAGACTCTCTGACTTCATGACCTTCTCTATCTTTACTTTTCAAGACTCAGTATAATTTAAAAAAACAAACAGATGGAGGGGCAAACAGAAACAACAGCAATTCACTCAGCAATTCAATAATTTTTTTATTTTACTGACAGTGCTGTTCTATCTTACTCTGTGGTTAATCTGGATATGCAGAGCCTGATGGTACTACAGCCCCATAGCACAAGTCCTGTAGGCAGCTGGCAATTATTATCAGCTGCCTGACTAGGAGAGAAAGGGACGGAGTCCCCAGCAGGGAACTTGGTAATGAAGGTGGCAGCTGCAGAGATGGAGGCAGCAAGGGGCTCTGGCTCCCTGTGCGACCGCCAGACCAGCAGAACCCACAGAGCCCACCTGCACAGCAACAAGCAGCAGAACACTGCAACGCGCCAAACAACGCCCTTCACAAAGGAGAAAACCCTGAGAGGGGGACAGAGCTCACACGCTTCTATTAACAGGACAAGGCTTTCCCAACACAAGTGCTGTGCCTTGTCACTGGGAGAAGATGCTGGACTGCCTGCTCCCACTGCCACTGGTGCTTTCCATGGAACGATGCTCACTGTAATTCACACAGGGAGGAAGCGCCTGTGGGAGCAGCTCCTATTTCTGGGCTTGCAAGGAAGCATGAAACTCAGTCCCTCCTGAAACCAGACTCCTACTCCAGTCCCATTCCTGTGCTGAAACTCACATGTAATGCAGTGAGGACAAGGGGAAAGTCCATCACAAACTGCTGTCCCTGTAACTACTGGGTCTTGGTAAGCGTGTGGTTCTGTGCCCACAGCCTGCTCTCCTTGTGGCATAAAGTGCAGACTCAGCTCACCATGGGCAATGTGAAAATGCCCCATGAGAAATCCGAGTCCAGTTTCTTAATTCATGTCTTGTTCCCCATCACAGTTTTAAAGAGGGGGCTTTTGCATTCAGCCAAATAATGGAAAAGGACACTGAAGCACTCCAATGCAACACTTTACTTGATCTGATACAAAAAGGGAGATGTCCCACTCCCTTTGCTTTTCTCTGAGACTTGAGGGTAGGGGCTTGCAGAGCCCTTTCCAAGCTGGAACAGGCTACAGGAGTTGCCCAAAACCATCAACTCTGTGTTCACAGGCTGCACAGAAAAGAGTATCATGTGAACCTGGCTGATGGTTTGAGATGCTTGCAATGCACAGCTCAGGAGGTTTGGCTGCATCACGAGAATCCATCCATCCATCTATCCTGAAATGTTTATGAAACCTGGCCAGCAAAGGGGAAACAAACCAAAACATTGTTAAGTCTCTTAGGTGCTCTACACTCTTCAACATTTCTGGGCCCTGCCCTGACACAGCGCTGGCTCATTGCTGTCTCCTGGGACAGGAACAGAGCTGCTGCTCCTTCCTCACGGGCTGGCTGAAGGGAGTGACTTCAGGAAAACAGCAGGAAGAGAAAAGAGGGTGAAAGCAGAAGAACGGGAGCATTTGAGGATATAGTCACTCTTCACATGCAGCCTGCTCATGAAATAATTTCTGTTTTACAAAATATTTAACCTAACTTAGTCAGTGAAAGCACAGGCTTCAGGTCTTGCCTTTAATGTTTTTTCTGAGGAGGAGTGGGAAAAGTTAATGCAATGCAAATTCATGCCAAGAGCAAATACTTTTAATTATTATTTTGGACTGGTTAGTAAGAGCAATGAGGCAGGTGGAGTCATTTCATACTTCATATGTCTCCACTTTATAATTTAGGAAGTCTAGTAATATTTTCAAAATGCCTTGCCATGCCTTTTTTAAAAAAAACTAGTAGTTGGAAAGTTGTAAATTAAAATTCTGAAGTGCAGACGTTCAATTTTGATAGTGTTTTAAAATCAGATTCTGTATATCATTGTACTGATGTAAAAAGTAAAGTTCTGCCTTCAGGAGATAGATCAGTCCATGATTTCCACAGGCTTTGCTGGGTCCTAAGAAGAATGTGGAAAAGCTGCATTGCAGGGATGTATCCTGAATTGGTACAGTTCTAAAGAGATGCCTAAAATATCACTGCTTCCAAAGGCCAGCTTGGTATGTGAGGTAGGACCTGAAAGCCAAATTGTCAGAATTAATGTTGCATACTGAAAAAAAAAGAAAAACCCAGTTCACCAGCTAGAGCTTTGATTGATATTTATTTACTAAAGGTAATATAACCAAATCTTAAGAACTATTTTATTTGCAATAATTGCTACTTCAGAATTATTTTTACCATTTCCTAAACTGCAATATAGAGTGCCACACAACAATGGGACAGGGTCATTTCATAACAGTGCTCTAGTGGGGGGAAAAAAACCCCAACAAAAAAAAATGGAAACAGTCACATCAACTTCAGGAAAATAATGTGTCAGGATCACACCATGCAGTCAGTTCTCATAACTTCTTTACTAAAATGCATGGTCTCCTAACTTCACAGGTTTCTGTAAATCTTTCCTTTCCTTGTGTGGTGGACCCAAAAAAACCAGTTGGAAGATTTAAACCTCTAACAGAGGTGACTGATGTGGGAAGGGGTAGAAACACAATCCAAGTCTCAAAAAAACAACCAACCGAAGAATGAAAGGCGAAGGAAAAAGAACACAAAATACTCATATTTATGCCCAGTTATCAATTATTTTGATGTACCAGTATAGTTTTTTTTCCTCAGAGATGAAAACCTCCAATCATCTTTTTACTTGGAACAATCCAAGTAAATTTGTTGCTTTGAACATCAACTAAATATTCCATCTATTACCTAATACTGAAAAAGACATTCCTTACTTCTGATTTTCCCTGTTTGTGAGCAATTAGCTGAGCAATGCCTTTTTTTGCCACATACCATTTACATGAGCAGAGCATTCCCCTGAGAAACAGGTGGACCAGGCTGTGCTTTTGTTTCCAGAGGAGAAACCTGACACCCTCTTTCTTAGGACAGCTGCAATAACTCTGTCCTTTAAACTACTGACTGACTTAAACAGCCCACTGTTAAAGCCCACTGCTGCAGCTTCAGATAAGTCTTCAAAGGAAATAAGAAACATCTGAGGATGGAGCAGCTTCTTTCCTGAAATGGAGCTAATCAGGCACACTGGAGGGAGACAAAACAGGGTGTTTCACCCTGGCATCCTCAGCTCCTTCAGCTGAGTGTCCACTCCCAGGTAAGCAGTCCTGTGACCACTGAAATGAATGGTGGTGGAACGTGGTCGACCCAAAGAACAAGATAAAAAGTACAAAAAATGAAGCTAAAAAACACCCAGCAAGAATCTGACTTACCTCATGTATCATCACACCTAAAACTGTGTTTTCACTTGACACAACCAAGAGAACACAGTGACTCATGGACAGAGCCTCTGCTCTGGCTTCCAGCTGCTCCTGAGAGATCTTGGCAGCCACAGCAACACCAGGGTCCAAGCCCTTCCAAGGGGAAATGTGCCACCTGCCCCTCGCCACCTCTGCCTCGGGCACTCCCTCCCAAACTGATTCCCCTTCCCTGCTCACCTTCCATGCAGAAGAAATCCCCTCTGCCAACACCCATCAGGGAGGTACAAAAATACCCCATTACTGTTGGAAAAGAAGCCCTCACAGTGGAAAGAAAGGGAGGAAAAGGAAGGCTGTTCAAACTGGAGTGTTTTACAATGGCTTTAAGGTGAAAGAGGGTAGGCTTAGATTCGGTATCAGGAAGAAATTCTTCACTATGAGCATGGTGAGATGCTGGAACAGGTTGCTGAGAGAGGTTGTGAACACTTGGAGGTGTTCAAGGCCAGGCTGGATGGGGCTTTGAGCCACCTGGTCTACTGAAAGCTGCCCCAGCCCATGTCAGGGGACTGGAACTAGGTGACCTTTAAGGTCCCTCCTAACCCAAACCATTCTGTGATCCTGTGATTTCCAGAGGGAAACTTGCTTCAGAGTTCAGTTTACCTTAAGCAACTTGAGAACTGAGGATAGTTGAGGGTTTTAATTAAAGGCTGTAGTTCAGTTTGACAAATTTTCACTTATTATATTTACAAGCAACATCTTGAGGGTCTATAGCAAAACCAAACAAGCTGGAGAAGGAAACTTTGGAAATCTTTCCTCCTGTCATTCAAATAAATTTGAAATTAAGCATGTTGATTAGTTGTGAATAGAAAAAAAACATAAGAATTGAGTGACTTTTATCAAATCAGACTTTTTTTTTCTCATTACTATTCCACGCTTAGAATTATGGCTGCCTGAAAGAACCACAGCAAACTGGGAAGTTTAATTGAGGGTTTAATTGCTGGCTAACCAAACTGTCTGCTTTGTTTCAGAGTCACTCAGCAAATCTAAAACACATTTTTGCATATTCTCATGCTAATTTTTGGATTATATATTCATCATACGCCTAGACCTGGATGTAAGCAGTGAGACTTGTTTGCAGACAGTGATTTTGTTTAGTCAAATTCAGAGAAGTCTGCAAAGGACTTCAAGGAGATTTAATCAAGCTAAGTGAAAGGCTAATATAGCAGCACATGGAGTCCACTCCTGAATAATGCAAAGTAATGCAGGCAGAAAGGGGAAATAAAACTCCTGCATCCCACAGAGCTCTTTTAATTACAGGAAAGTCCTAGAAACATTCTGGGTGGTTCTGTGAAAGCTGCTGATCAATATGCAGCTGTAATGAAGGAAAGGGTGTGTTGAAACAGTACCAGAGGAGGTGAATCAGTGGCATCCTGCACATCCATCCACCTCAGAAAGGACACTATGTAATTTAGCAGAGCTGAGAGGACAGGGAAGATGATTAAAGGCAAGGTATCATCTCTCATGGGGCCAAACTGGGAAAAAAGTCAAATGGTATTATTTAGGGAACATCAAGTAGCAAAAAAAGTCAGGACATGTCTTGGCACAATGATGAAATTCACATAGCATTTACAATAACTTTGGAAAAACACACCTCAGCTGCAGAATGCAATGCTCTTCACATTTTATAGTGAAATGTTTTAGTACACCTCAGAGAGGAGGTGGGCACAAACACAACAAGAGCATCCACAGCCGAACCAGTAAGTGCAAAGGGAGGTTTGGAAGACAAGACACCTCACACGCCAGCATACAGCACTGCAGCTTAAAGGCTTGCCAAAGTCTCCGAGAGCCCGAATGACACCAGGTTTTATCCTCGGATTTTCTGCACCTTCTTATAAAACACCCGCCCGCAAGTGCGGGATAGGGGCGACAGGGTGGGACAGACACGATGCACCGCGGGCTGGGACAGAGCCCGTCCCCGTCTGCCAAAGGCTCCCCACACCCCGAAGGGCAACAAACCCGAGCAGCCCTTCGCGCTTGCTCTGAAAAACCTCTACTGTCATTCGTATAGATATTCCTATTTTCGTGTATTTCCAGGCCACGCTAACTCACCTTACAGCAGCAGCTCCCACTTTTAAACTCTGCCCCCCAAGGAAGGGAGCGCTTTTTCCCTCGGTTCCGTCCGAAGCCTCACACCGCCCCCCCTCCCCGCGCCCTGCCCGCGGTGCGGAGCCACCGGCTCGGGGCCGGCCGCCTCCCCGGCCCCCCCCCAGCGCCCGGCCCCGGCCCCACCTGAGCTCCAGCTGGTCCAGGTTCTCGAGCAGGCGGCTGGAGCGGTCGGCCATGGAGGTGGAGCGGTAGAAGCGGCCGCGGAGCTGCCCGCCCGACTGCTGCTGCTGCGGCTGCGGCTGCTGCTGCGCCCCCTCGCTGGCCTTGGCGCTGATCCTGGCCTGGGCCATCCCACCCGCCGCTGCCGCCGGCGGAACCTCGCTGCGGCCGCTCCCTCCCCGCGTCCCGCAGGCGGCGGCGGCGGCCGAATGCCGGCACCTCGCTCATGGCCAAAGAAGGAGCCGCCCCGCCGCCGGCCCCCGCGGCCACCCCGCCCCCGCGCCGGGCCCGCGGGCGCCGCCTCACGCAGCGCGGCGAGGCCGCCTCGCCCCGGCCGGGGGCAACAGAACCACCGGAGGGGCCGGGCTGGGAGGGACCAGGCTGGGTCAGCTGGGCCAGGCTGCCTGCCCCTCTCCAGCGAGGGACCTCGCTGGGCAACCTGTTCTAGTGCTCGGTCACCTCGACGGTAAAGAAGTTCTTCGTATTCAGGTGGAACTTCCCTTCCTGTGCATCAGTTTCTGCCCATTGTCTCTTGCCCTATTACTTGGCACCACGGAGAAGAGGCTGCTCCATCTTCCTGACACCCATGCTTTAGGTACGTGATCACATTGATGAGGTCCCCTCTCAGTCACCCCTCCTCGAGGCTGAGTGACCCAGACCCAGCTCCCTCAGGCACTCCTGGTAAGAGAGATTCTCCAGACCCTTGGCTGAGTTACCTCAGGAGCTCCCTGTCCCTCTGGTCTCTGCGCTGAGGCCGGCTGGGCCGAGTGTCCCCTGTTGTGACCGACACCGCAGTGTCACCCGCACCTGCCCCGCGCCGGGGTCCGGCAGCCGTGTGTGCCTCCGCTCCTCGTGTCACATCTGCGGCACAGAGACACCCCGGGCTGCCCTGCTCCCTCCTCCACTCCCCTTTGTGACAAAAGCAACAAAACCTGGACCAGCCAAAAGCAGCCAAAACCACACTGACTCTGGCTGTAGTTCAGCCAGAAGCTACAGGAGGAATAATGAGATTTTCAATATCTGTATTAACTTTGTGTGAGATGGGAGCTACTGGTATGAGGATTTGTATTCCAGAACTGGTCTGTATGACTGGTTCATTGGTTTGCTCTTTCATTAATGAAAACAAGAAACCCACAGCTACCCACATGTTATTTTTACTTAAGGCTAATTAAACAGTAAACTGCAAAACGGAAAACAGTGGAAAGTGCAAGAAACAGGAGGAGAAAAAATAAGGGCTTTAAAAATCCAGAAGCTTGAAAGGAGAGAAAAGTCAAACCAGAGACAACCCTTACTGCAAGCAGAACTTGAACAGAATTCCTAAAAGAAAAAATAAAAAATAGGTACTTTGGATATGCTACTTATAGTGCATCTTTCTCCTGCCAACTGCAAGAGCCCCCTACTACTTGCAGAAAAGCAGCTGTTTCACCAGCTGTAATTGTAGGATTTTACAAAAAGCTTACTGGAAAGAAAAGTGGTTTATGTTCTCTTTTTATGCCAGAGAGAAAAGACGTATGTATTTCATGGTAGCCAAGGTAGTGGATCTACATCTAGTAATGACTTGTCCCAAGAACATATTTAATTTTCCTGTGTGAAATGGCACCTTCTCTCTCACAAGCACTAGCAATTCGAGTCACACATAAGTTTTACTTGCCACTACTGTGAGTATTTAAAAAGGAATTTGCTTATCCCAAAAGATGAGGTTTGGGCAAATACCCCATGGCTCCAACAGACCCATTTTTGGCACCCAGCTAAGAGGGATTTTGTTGCACAGGGATACCGTTTTGTATGCTTATCCTGCTGTGATTCAAAATAGCTGTTTTCTCAGGCTTGTCCATTCAGAATGATATCATGTCCCAAGTACTCTCGTTAAATTAATTGCCTGAGTTTTCTTTGTTTTAGGTGGTTGGATAAGCAAGGCTTATTGCCTGTGAGCTCATGGAAATAGCTTCATTGGAACAAATGTTCCATCCATCTCTCCACAGGCTCTACAGAAGATAATTAAAAACCATTTCCCACCCCAAACAGAATCCATTTGTAGCCATGACACATTGTTTGCTACCATTTATTTCCTGGGATCCTTCTATTCTTCCCATGCCAATTTATTAAGCATCAATTAGATTGGGTTTAAAAAGTAGAAATCAAAGTAGCTGCACAGCTCTGAACATTTTTTTCCTCCACAGGTAAACAGGGCTTTAATTCCACAAGTTACAACTGGATCAGAGGCGCAGAACAGCTTTAAGTGTCCAAATGTATCACACTTGACTTAACCTCTTTAACAGCAAAAGGACATTTTACATGGGAAGGAAGAATAGCAAAACTGTGAAAACAAAATGCAAATTTAAAAGCAAAAATGGTCTTCCAGGACAAGTCTTGAAATTATTGCCTGGAAAAGCTGGGATATTTCCCTTTCAGAGACTTGGAAGAACCTTGAAAACAGCTTTTCCTGCTCTCTAGAGTAGATTGCCCCCCATCCCCTCTATTTTTGCAAAGGTATGTAAAGGGACAATTGGCATCACTTTTCCAAAATAATAACTGGTTGGTCTAGAAAGATTGGGGTCCATCTCTGCAGGAAGGAAACTGATTCACAGCTGAATTGGGGGAATTTTGAGGACACAAAGGCAGGAATTGGGTCCTTTGGGGAGGCAAGCAGGAGGAAGGGCCCCCACACATGAAACAAGGCACATATTTCATTCTCCTCCTTGCCATGAGTGGTGAAGCACAATCAGGACTTCTGGTGATGCCATGCTAGCATCCCTGTCTTCTCCCATGTCCCCACATCTGTGGTCATGTGAAGGACTGCACAGCCCTGCTCTGGCTATAGGCACCAGCAAAAACATGAGGAGAGAGTGTGTGTCCCAGTGTTCCTGCATTCCCATCACAGCAGTGAAAGCACTGGCTGTCTCTTGTTTAAACTACAGCCTTGTAAAAAATGGGTGCTGATTGCAAAAGAGCAATGAACAGAAGTCTCATTCACATGCACAGAATCCCTTGAGACAGCAGAAAGAGCAACTTTCCCAGGTCTCAGACATCTGAAGTACCTGTGCAAGTCCCAGAACCAGGGAGATGACCTACACCAAAAGCACTGCAAATTGTAACACTACTAAATAGCACCTTAATTCCAGCTTTGCCTTATTTCAAACCCTGATATATACCTTGTCACATACCCTAACACATGAGCTGTCATGGAACAGGATCAAAGAGAAAGTCCACACCCAAGAAATGCCATGCAGGATTATTTTCCTGCCTTCACCTACAGGAACTTTGTATTTTCAAGTTGAAACATGGGAAATTTAGGTTAGTTACTAGGAAGAAATTCTTTTCTGTGAGGGTGGTGAGGGCACTGGAACAGGTTGTCCAGAGAAGCTGTGGATAATTCATCCCTGAAAATGTGCAAGGCCAGGTTGGATGGGACTCTGACCAGCCTGGTCTAGTGGGAGGTGTTCCTCTCCACAGCAGGCTGGAACCAGATGATTTTAAGGCTTCTTCCAACCCAAACCATTCAGTGGTTAAGAACTTCCTTGTGCACAGGTCTTCTGCAAACACAACAGTTCCCAGACATGGCTGAAGGACGCATCCATGGCTCAGGCCAGCCAACCAAAACCAGCCTGCAGTCTCCCCAGCACTGCAACAATAACGATAAAGACGTGCCAAGCTGACTTTTCAGGGTATGTTTTCAATCAAAATACATGTCTGCTATCACAGTAGGCTGCCCCCTCACTTCACACCTGCTGAACCTGTGCTGCTGTGTGTTTTCTGCTGTTCTTACTGATGCTAATTAAAACTAGCCCTGGGTTTGCCTCTACATGCTGCAGTTGTTTTACTGTGTGGGCAAGCCCTGAGGTCCCAGGCCTTTTAGAAGTGTGAATGAAGCCCTCTGTCTCAGGGGCAATCTGAGAGCTGCTGTGACCATTTTGGGGCATGCAGCCGTTCATTCTCACTGGAGCAAAGCTGACAATTAAATGAGCCAGTGCATTCTGTACAGCTGAAGATGCTTGGTGGATTGACAGTGGAGCTCTGAGCAAAAAACCAAAGGGAAGGACTACCAGAAATTAGGGTATTGCAGTCAGTGAAAGCCAATTTGCACAGATTTACAAAGGGAACTTTATATTAAATTTCCATGCACGCAGAGCTTTGCTGTTCAAGTACACACTTGGCATGTTCTTGCCATTTGCCATAAATGTTCTGACTTGCTTACATTCACTTTTAGAATTATCTCAGGCCATATTATTTGACCCATATTGTTACTACTGAGCACCAAACCACTTGAACTAAGAATTTCTACAGGAAACTTGAAGGGGTTTAGAAGTACTAAAGAAAAATGCAGATGCAGACTTTCATAAAGCTGCTTAGCTGGAAAGAATTGCCAGAAAGTATATTTGTGCTAATGTAAGCCAATTTTTCTGAATTAATTTTGAAACAATTCATCATTCATCCTCCTCACCTCCTTCCAATTTACAGCAGTCTCTGTAAACACAGCCAGGACACTGCAAGCAGATGATAGAACACTTTCCTTTTAAGAAAGACGATGGCATAACTTCATACCTCTATAAACTTCACTATATTTGGTAAAGATTTCATAAAGGTTTGCATTCCATGACCACTACAGGAGCAGTGGTGGTCATTTCTGTATTCCTTGAAGAGCTATGAAAACTAACCCACCACCCAAAACATATATATAGAAGGCAAGTATCTTAGAGTCAGCTAATGTCTCTCTTTTTAATATTATTAAATAACAGAAGCAACCAGGCAGATATAACACTTCAGTGCTCCAGTGACTCTAGTAACAGTTGAACTGGCTTATTTGGCATCTCACCTTGTCTCTGAATATGACCAAAAAGGGATTTTGTTTTGTAAGAATGTGGCACAAAAAGTACTAAAGAATTAAGAGCCTTATCTCTCAAGTTGTCACAATTTCAGTTTTACAAAACTTAACACATGCACCATAGAGAAATTAAAAGCACTGAGATGAACAGCTCGTGGTAGTCAGTTAGAGATTAGACTTTTTCCTCATTAAAGATAAATACACAGTAGCACAACTGAATTACTTTAGGCTAATGAAGGATGAACTCAAACATCACTGCAAAAGTAAATGCTCTTGAAAAGGGCAGACAAATGATTTCTAGTACAAATGTGCTGGGCAAGCCCCTTTTAACAGACAGGTTGTGCTTGTAAACGCAGGCAGATTTCTCAGCATACGAAGGACAAACCTCAAAAATTTCAGCCAGTTAAACAAGACTCACCAGACAAAACCATTGCATTCTGAAACACATTTACAAGACAACTTTTCTAGCTGAAGGTGTTCAACCACAAGATGCTGGTGAGTAACAAGTCACATGTCTGTACATGCAGTGTTTTAAGAATCTGATTTTCTCTGTTCTTCTGGAAACATAAGTATCAGAAGCCTGTGATGGCAGAAAATTTCACAAAGAAAAATGTGAGTTAAAAGAGAACCTCAAAGAGACCAAAATTGTCTTCAAAATGAGGCCAAATTTCAAGATGTTGCTAATTCTGAAGATTAGTGCTATAAAAATAACAGAGAAACTAGAACTGTGATTAGTTGTTTTATAAAAGCCAAGGCAGCAATGGTTGAGAATTGCCATTTGTTTTGGTAAGCAGATGACAAGGCCAACACAATGTGTTTAATAAGTGGAGCTTCAAGTATACGGAATGTATGTGCACACAGGACTTTTTTTTTTTTTTAAATGCAACCAATTAAGTCATGGCCCATCAGGTACAAGCAAATTTAAATTTATGACAGAATAAAATGTTATGAAAAAAAGTACATAATCAAATTCTAACATAGCAGAATCTGGAGAAGATGATCTATCCAGGTTTTAAACACTGTTGAGCCAAAGAACTTTCTCAGACTGAAACACCTTTTCACGTGAAAGGAATTGGAAACTTCAGGATCTATATGGGAAAAAAACCTGCCCAAAAACTTGTATAACCTAGAAGGAGATGCTTTTGAGGATAAAAATTGTTTTCTGTTTCATTCAGTCCTTTAACAGAAGCACTAGGAAAAAGGGTGGGAAAAAATCTGGAACTGATTTAAGCTAAAGACAGTAGTCAATTAAATAGCTAAAGACAACTCAAAATCTCCCAAAATAGGCTCCCTCAGCAGCAGTATGACTACACACCTGAATTTTATCAAGAGTACAATTAATCCAAGACTGGCAGTAGGAAAGCAAGCAATAGACACAAGGGAAAACTGTAGCATTGTGTGTTTTATACAGGTTTTGTTGTAAAGTTGGTTATTTTTTATAAGTTGAGATTATGGTTTGACCCTCGGTTCCCCCCATGTTCCTCCCTCACAGTGGTTTGTCCCTGAGTTGTTTGTCCCTTGTTTTCCCGCCAGTGACCTGCCTGTCAAAGTAACCGATCCCCTGGTCCTTCCCTTTATGTCCTTATAAGTTTATCTCCTCCCTCCTGGTGCTGCCTAGTTTCCTGTCCATCACTGTAACCATCCCCCCCGCCTTTATTTCGAGAAACTTCTATGTCAGTTATCCCTTACTGAAGAGATGATTTGTCTCCTGAGCCTTTTCCCTCCCCTATGCAATCCTTATTGCTTCAGTTGTGTCCCTCGCTCCTCCCCTGGGCTTCGTGCATTGGTTCCCTCGTGTCTCCTCCTGTCAGGCCCATCCCCTTTGTCAGTGCCTCCCCGGACGGTTCTCTGACACCATCACTGGTCCCGCCCGGGACAATAAAGGCTGTGGCACCCATACGAGTGTCCGCTCTCTCCCTCCTTCCCCTCAGTGCTTCGCAGTCCCGCTCTCACGTGTGCCACCACGCCGCAGACGGCACCACTACCTGGGATTCTTGTGAAGAACCTGGGAGTGGCGGCGTCCGTGGTCTCCTCGTAGCCGGCACCCGTCAGCTCCTGTGGCTGCGGGACAGGGTTACAGAAAACCACTAAGAGGGTCCGGTTCACCCTGTAACACTTGGGAGTCACACTCAAATGCATTCTAAGTGTTCCAACTATTTTCTGGCATTTGAACAGTTTCTTCAAGCTGTATGATTGCTAATGAGTGCTAAATACCTCACCAGATTCTTCTTAATTCTACTTGCTTCAGAGATAGCATTTGTATCAGAGTGATGATTAGAAATAAACCAGTGTCAGTCTTCCAGCTTTTCTAACCATGATGACAAACAGCTGTAGCCACACTGACACTTTGGAATAGTGAGAAAATCCAGCCTTACCCACACCATATTCTCCACAACATGTATCTACTTCCATAATGAATATTTAAGGATACAGCAGGTAGAAGCAAACTCACAAGGTGAGTGAATCATAGAAAAGAATTAGAGTGGCATTTTATTACACTGTGAATTCTTACTGATTGACAGCAGTCATAAACTGAAGGATAACAGGCTGGTAAAGCTGGACAGTTTGCATAGGTATTTTTAAACAAAACTGAGAAAGATGACAGATAAATTTCAACAAAAATAATTAAAGTAAGGACAGTACAAAAATAATTAGCACATTTACATCCATTTATCCAATGCCACCTCTTCATGAGCAGAAGAGAGCAAAGACTATAGTATACAGAAATATTACAGTTTAAATCTTCTCACATGTAGTCCAAACAGAAACTAGAAAGTTTATTTAGATTCTGTTTCCTTAAAAGGTTGTTCCTGCTTCAGGTAAGGGAGAGCCATCAAACTCTCATTTGATGACTCAAATGAAGTCATCAAACCTTAAGTCATCAAATCCAAATACTCTACCACTTTTGAAAAAAACAAAACATATTTATAAAAATGAAGCTGGTAAACTACAGCCTGTGGTTCTGATTCAGACATTTATAACAAACAGGACAGAGACAAAATCATGGCCTATGAAGTAAAACCAGCCACAGGCAAGAGTTAAGCCATATGTTCAACAACCCTGGGATCTAAGCTTCTCTTTATAACAAGATTAGCCAGGCAAATCTGAGATAACTGGAGTTTACTATTTTTATCTGTTGCAAAGACCACATGAAAAAGTAAATAAAGACAATTACATTTTGTGACAAAAAAAAAATTAAATACAAGAACCAATTTAAGAAAAGAAACCCAAACAACCAGGAACCCCAAAATACCTAGTAAGACCAGCCTACTAATTAGGCAACAATTTCAAACTGCTAAATTGTAGAGATTTAGTCATCACCCCTTAGAAACAAATATGAAAAGGCTTAAAATTCTTTTTTTATCAAACATAACACATTGCTGTGAATATGAATAAACTCCAGCTGTTCACCAATATGACAGAGGACATCAGATTATTAATCTAACAATTACAGACATTTCAAAAGTGGCATTTTTGAACCCTTGTAAATAGATGGAACAAGCTTCCATTTTTGTGAGCAGTTCTGATGGCATGGTGTTAGTGTACTGAAGTATCTTCCTTTACATTTCCTCAAGGCTCCTTTTGATAGCTTCTTGCAGTTCTGCATCTTGCAGTTCTGCATCTTGCAGTTCTGCATAAATAAAAAAAGACTGTAATGTCAAACTGCAATTGATAACTAGACATAAACACAACTACCTTAATATTACTACATAAACCATGAACTTATTTCTGTGGGCAATGTCAGCAGACTGCAAAAAACCCTTAAGAAACAGATGAAAATATTTCCCCTCCTTGTTTTATGCTATCTTTTCAACACTGCAAAATGTGGAAAACAACTCTACAACTTTTCACTGTCTTAACCAGGAGCAGCCCAATGATTAGTTTAGGACCATAATTGTAACTCTGTATTTACTGCTCAAACTAAAAGCAAGATTAGAACCCATAGGTATGCACCAAGAAAAATAAACAAAGTATTAAAAAAACCCAATGTATATACATAACAAGCAGAGAGGTTTCAGTATTTTCTTTCCAGTTCCTTATCCAGAGATATGCCCATATCTACATTCTGACTTGGCAGCAGTGTTGTCACTCTTACCAGGTAGGCCAGACAAGTAGATAAAAGTCAATCTCAGCAGTGAGAATAGTCTAGATCAGGGCTGTTACAGTTTTGGTGGTGAGGAGAAAAATTGCATTGCACTCATCTGACTTCTTAACGATCTCAAACAACTTTCATAATACTCAAAAAAGAAACTGTGTTTGCATTACATTTAGGTTGTTTTGGGCACTAATTGCTTGGTGTAAGTAATCAAATAGCATAAATTTGACAAGGTTTGTACACACAGCAAATATTAATATAAAAAATATAGCTGGAAAAATTAAAGCAGCTTTCAGACACTGTCATTCATGAATTACTCATCTTCTGCTTTAGGAGGACACAAGCACATCCTATTAAAAAGAAGGATTTGTCTATTCTTATGAAAAAGGAAATAGAATTTTAAAACTGTAATAATTGTTGGGCTGTTTTATGCAAGGCTGAGATTTGGAACAGAGATCATATCACTGGCTGCTCTCTCATGCATCTGGACTTTCCTGTAATGTCCAGAACTACTGATAAAATAAGAATTGCTTAAAGAAAAATATTACATGCTCACAGAAACAAACAAAACCAAACAAAGACCAAAATCCATCTGCTGACAACTGCTTGCATTAAAATATGTTATTTAGCCACTAAACCTGCACAAAAGTACAGAATAAGGTCCAAGCTGTGACTCATCTGCAGCCAGGCTGCTTCAGAAGGTCAGGTGCCTCTGCACTGCAGCCTCAGAAGTGGGACCTCCTGCATACACCAAATGCCACTGCTATCCCAGTACTGGGGTGGGGGGGCTGAATGCACCAAACTTTCAGTGCTGGAGATGAAGGCTGGACACTTAAAAACAGTGTTTAGTAACAGCTGGTAAACTTACAACTGAATAAATTCTGGGAACATAAGATTGATGAGTAATCAGTTTTATCACAGAGCTTGTACAACTTTTTTAGTTTATTTCCATTAGGTGGAGGGGCAGAATCAAGTCTTTAACAATAAGTTATTCTCAAAGTACATTGTGGTCTGTCACCAAAAATGCGTGACTACACTGAACACCACCAGTAAGCTCAACAGCAAAAGGATGAAAACAATTTCAAATCATGTAAGATAGGATGTGAATGGACAGATGTGATGCTGATTCAACCTTGTGCATAACTCTACAGCTCTTTCAGGAGATCAGAGTGCTTTATTGTGAAATGATATCTAATCTTGCATTTATTCAGAAGTTCAACTGATTAGTCAATAGTTCTGCTCTGAGACAACACAGTCATATTAAACTGGTACAAAGTGAACTCAGTCTAGTCTTTAACTGACTGGTACCCTGTGGTGTCCAATGAAATAGATTTTTAGTTTGATGGCATACTTTTCTTTTTATACTTTTTATACTTATAACTCACCACAGCAATCTTCACTACTCAAGACTGCCCAACCTAATTTAGAGAGTATTCCTAAGAGGTCACTTGCTGTAAAACTGTTTGTAAGTTCAGTTTCTGTATCTTCCATAATTAATAGTGCTCTTGAACACAGAAAAGTAAAAACTGACAGACCTTCTTTCTTTGTTTCTTCTAAGCTCCGCTTCAGTGTTTCTTTCATATCTTCATCCTCTTCACTATCTGAACCTTAAATGCACAAATGAAATAAATGACACATTGCTTCTAATAAAGATATTAACAGCCTCTCTTGCATTTCTCTTACTGTAACACCAACTGATTTGAAGAGTACACTTGTTATGACATAAAAAAATCAAGATAAAAATACATTCCAGTGGTAGTTTAAGACAGTAACTCAGGAGAAAGTTATTTTTCAGCTACCTCCTTTCCCTTGTCCCCACAATCTAGAGGCAGATTGCTGCAATTTTTTATTACGGTAAAGCAGCAACGAGAAATAATAGGTGCAGAAGCTGCTGTGTCAGCTGCATTTGTGGGGGGTTTGGTAATATTCAGTTATTAAAAATGACTCACTTTCTATAAATTACTCACTTTCTATAAAATGTATCAAGGATTTCATTATGGGAAGAAGTGTCTTAGTGTGTCTCTGCCTACACATGACTGTAGCTGTGTTTTATTCCCCAAATACTGCATTTGAACAATGGAGTGCTAAAACTCAACTGAGCAGTGCAATCCAGCAGATGTTGCTGTTCAAGTCTCATATAAGCAGAAGGTTGATAGATTTAGTTTAATCTGTTAGTTCATCACAACCCAGCCCAGTCAAAGCTCCACAACTTTTCCCTTTCTTAATAACACTCTCCACAAGGCTGGTTTCCAGCTCCAGAAGGACAGCTTTGTTTTGAAGTGTCTAGTGTACCTGAAGTGGTGAGGGGTTTGGTTGGTTGGTTTAGTTTGTTGTTGGTTGTTTTTTTCCCCATGAAACAGAGGCACAGTAAAGTACAGGTTAAAAGCCAAGCCAATGAGTCACGTTATGCATTCATGCTCCTGCTACAGGCTATTGCTATTTTGGGAGATGGTCTCTGTAATGAGGTCTTACAGTATTAGCAATCAACAAGGTCTCCTGCAGTCATACCAACAGAAGCACTCCCCTTAAAGTCATCACATTTATTAATACATCTGTATACTTCTGATTACATCAACCAACAAAGAACTTTCTGATATGGCCATCTAATTTACTGACTGTGTGACTTCTGGCATTTTGAATTACCCAACTTAGCTATTCAAATTGTCAGGTAAGCTTCCAAAATTTGTTTTCAAACCTCTGACACACAACCTGTTTGAGCAGAACCTTGCTGACTTTCCCAATTCCAGGAATAAAAATTCCAACAGCTGGTGTCAAACAGTGATCAGCAGCCCAAAAATATGCCACAAATTTAAATGTTATTTCTCCACTTACTTGGCAGACCGACTGTGAACTCTTTTTGGGGCTGCCTACTATTTCTGAGCAGACGAGATACTAATTCTGACATCATTTTCCAAAGCAAAGCAAAGGAAAGAAAAATCCACACCCCTTCATCCCCCACAGCAGTCACTACAATTACTAATGAAAGGGAGGAAAAAGCACAAAGGAAAGGCTTTTTGCAAGTGGCTTCTTCCTAATTAACTATCCTTTTAATCTTCCAGCCTGGAAGACATGTCAGACCACTCTAAAAAGTTTTATACCTGTTAGAGGTGGAACAGTTGAAGCAATCACTCCCTAACTCAATTCTTGGCTTAGTACACATGACATAAAAACACTTCCAGCGATGGGGCACCCACAGCTTTTCTGGGCAACTGGTCAAGTGCCTCACTACCCTCAAAGTAAATAATTTCTTCCTACCATCTAATCCAAATCTTCCTTTAGTACAAAATCATTCCTCCTTGTCTTGTCACTATCTGCCCACATAAAAAGTCCTTTTTTATAAGGCCTCTTTCAGTACTGGAAGGCCACAATGTGGTCTCCTCAGAGCCTTCTGTGCTCCAGGATGAACAACCACAACACTCTCAGCCTTTCTTTCCAGCTCTCTGATCATCTTTGTGGCCTGCTTTGGACCCACTTGAAGAGATCCATGACTTTCTTGTGCTGAGGACCCAGAACACAGCACCCTTGTGGGGTCTCATGAAGCCGGAGCAGAGGGGCAGAATCCCCTCCCTTGACCTGCTGGCCACTCCTCTTTTGATGCAGCCCAGGATGCCATTGGCCTTCTGGGTTGTGACTGCACACTGCTGGCTCATGTCCAGCTTTTCATCCATGAGACCCCCCAAGTCCTTCACTGGTCTGTTCACATGCAGCTCTTCTCCCAGGCTGTATTCATGTCTGGAATTATCCCCAGCCAGGTGCAGCACCTTGCACTTGGCCCTGTGGAACTTCCTGAGGTTCTCATGGGCCCACTTCTCAAGTCTGTCCAAGTGTTGCTGGATGACATCCCATCCTTCAGGTGCAACTGCACCGCTCAGCTTCATGTCATCTGCAAACCTGCTGAGGCTGCCCTTGATTCCACTGTCCGTGTCACCAGTAAAGAGACCGAAAAGCACTGGTCCCAAGGCAGAGTCCCCGGGGGTCACCATCTGTCACCAGCCTTCACTTTGACATGCAGCCACTGACTACAGCTCTCTGGCAATGTCCATCCAGCCAATTCCTTATCCACCAACAAGTCCAGGCAGATATCACAGCCTTCCCTTGTCAAGCACTGCAGTTGCTCCATCATAAAACGCTACCAGACTGGTCAGGCAATGTCACAGAATGATGGAGATTGGAAGGGACCTCTGAAGTCATACTGTCCAGCCTCCCAGCTCAGTCAGAATCATCTATTGCCCAGGACTCTGTCCAGATAGCTTTTGAGCAGTACTCAAAAGACAATGTAGCGGGGAGCTCCAAACTTGTTAGATATGACCTTACTGAATAAAGTGAAATAATCTTCCTCAACCTACTGGCAACAATCTTCCTAAAGCAGCCCAGGGTACTGTGGAACCTCTCATCCACCAGAGCACACATTAGCTCACAGTCAACCTGCTGTCCACCAGAACCACCAGGTTCTTCCCTACAAAGCTATTTCCCAGCTAGTTGACTCCTGCTCATCATATATTGATGCTTGAGGCTGTTTCTCCCCAGATGCAGAATTCTCCACTTCCCTTTGTTGAACTTCATGAGATTCACTGTGAGTCCACTTCTCTCCTGTCAAGGTTCCTCTGGATGGCAGCACAGTTCCTGTGGTGCACCAACTGCCACTCCCAGTTCTGTCATCAACACACTTGCTGTAGGTATACTCTGCCCCATCATCTAGGGCATTAACAGATATTAAAAAGGATCAGCCCCTGTACTGGGACACAGCTGGCTCCTGACCTCCATGCCACAGATCACCATGTTCCAGGTCTGGTGGTTCAGCCAGCTTTCAATCCACCTCAGTTTTCTCATCCAGCCCACACTTCATCAACATACACTGCTGAAACTGCTGGCATCTTCTAATAATGAGATGCCACAGCTGGCATCTTCTAATTTTGAGAAACCAGATATGTCCTGTCCCTCTTGCTAAAATCCTTAGCACATGCTATAGCTCCCAACTCCTTTGGTGTCAGAGGAAAAGCAGCTGCCCAGTTTCAGAGGCAAGAGATCTTAAGATTTCTTGTACTCTTCTCTAGTAATACATTTTATCAAATACACATCAGGTAAGAACCTGTGACTGTACCTGTTCTTTCAAAAGAAATCCTACTGCTCACTACTGGCCTCACATACTGACATACTCCTACTGGAAGAATGAGAAAACGGGAAGGCAAACTCCGGATGAATTTAGAGCTCAGAATTATTTTTTGACATTTCATGTCTCTGAGCTTCTTCTTCTGGGGAAAGACTGGTAACTTTCACAGAATGTAAGCGCCACCCACTGTCCTGCCATCAAAGCACCCCAGCCTGAGTTTGGATTAGCTGCCCACACAGCTCAGGGTAACATCCCCCCACTGTATCTTATTCTATATCCTGCCACTAATCTTCTTCTTTTGCAACCACCCCAGTTACCACCAACCCTTTCATAATTTCCATCAGGTTTAGCACCAGAGACTCAACTTTCCTTCCCCAGCCTTCCTCCTGCTCCCTTACCACACAACACACCTCTTGTCTCCTGTACAGTCTCACATCCCACCTCCACTTCCCTCCAAAAATACTCCTTCTCTCAGTCTTGTCAGTAACTCCCAATCTCACCTGCCCCTTTCCCATTCCAATGTACAGTGGCATTCACATCACGCTGTCTCTCCAACCACTGACCCTTCTCCTCTTGCAGCTGCTCTCTGGAGTTTTAGTGCTACCTTATGGATACAATTTGTTAACTCAGTCAGGATCCCAGGAATTACTTAGCCAAAAGCTTTAGATCAGTACCCCACCCTTATCTTTGTTAGCAATCACATTTGGTATGTGTGACCATGCTGCCTTTAAAACACCTTCTCTGGATTCTAGAATCTTGTCTTTTATTCCTTTTTTCATATGCCCCTGGAGGATCCTTCCCACATACTCCTCCCCAATGCTTACTGCTCTAGTCTCTCTTCATATTAAGGTAATATCATCTGTAAATGCAAGTACAGCTACGCCTTGCTGAGGATTACCACCATACAAGCCCTCTCTTCCTCCATGCAAAGCAAGCTTCACTCTGTCTATCTCTGCCTACAGTTGCTCATTCAAGCATAGAACAAATAAAAACAAAGCTTTCAAGCTGCCACTCTCCTCCAATTGCATTTCTTGGAAACTGTGGCCAATATAATTATTAGTCACTCAGACTTTCATCTAACCTTTATCTTAGACTCCTCTCTCAAATTCAAAGCCAGATTCAAGCTGAACCTCAAGAATTTTTTTGGTATGATCTGAGTGGTGAGGTCTTCCCAGTTCATGCACTGGCCTCCAATTGTTGAGACTCATTATCGTAGGTGTCAGCACATGGCTTTCTCCCTAGGGCATGAACATACAAGAGATGCCACTGGCATACCAAACCCAGTGGTAACTTCCTGCTGCAGCTAACACCAGGTTACAACTGAAGCATGACTTTCTTATCACTCTCTACTGCAACAAGCTGTGGCTGCTATAATAAAGAAATATATTACTGAAGAAACCATAATTCATTCATAGTGCATCACTCTGCAGATGCCCATGCCCTTCACATTCAGTTTCACATTCAGGAAATCAGGGCCTGGAGGCTGTGATTTGCCATCTGTGTTAACTGCTGGTTTGGAAAAAGCAGAGATGGGACAGATGTAGTAATACTGGACCTCAAACTGCACCACACAAGGATGTTCACCCATGAAAATCTTCACTATGGAGAAGTAAAGCAACTATTCTCAATGTCTTCTCTAAATTTGTTCTTCTGTCCTTTTAAATTATTTTGTTGGCTGTAGGTAAAACAAAAGTTTTTGGGCATAGTGGGAGCTAGGCAGCTTGGGAGCATTCATTAAAATGAACTGAAATCCTGCTCTTCCAAACATAAAACTCATGGAATCTGCATTTGGTAGTATTTAAACATTTCAGGCAAGAGCAGCAGATTGAGGATGTAGGCTGGCAACTCCATTTGAGTACAGGAAAATGTACTTTATGGGTCAGTGAAAGAGCCATGGTGGCTATCTGGCACACAAAACTACATTCAGTACACCAGTGACTCTGACAGGCTCATGAGCCAGACTGGCTCTTCAAAAGAAAGGACAAGAAATACTTTCAAAAATTTGTTCTTATTATTTAAGAGTTGGTTTTACATAAGAGCTCAGTCACTGAAGGATCTCATTTGAATATAACTGGGAGAAATACAGTTAAGCTAAAGACTTACACAAAAACAACTTGTCAGCCAAAAAGTTGTGGCATTCCTGTCAGTGTACAGATGGATATGATGACCACAACCTACTATCAGCTTTGCCCTCAACATTGTCCAGCATTCATTAAAAGTGTACTTTCAACACACAGGATATCATCAAGACACAGATAATGGAATAATGATATTTTTCTGCCAACTACAGGTTTTTTTGTTATAAAGGAAGACACTGAAAACTCTTCTCTTCTGCCCTTCCCAAACCACTCAGTTAATGTGCACAAAGCTCTTGTCATGTGATGTGGCTTCACCATAAAAGCAAAAACCTTCTTCATTTATGAACTCAGGCTTAGCAGCAGCGAACAAGAATGCCTACTCTTGTCATGCCTCAAAGAAGTTCAAGCATCTCCTCCAGCCAAGGGTTTCCTATAGTAACATACAGTTGGTATCGTATGGCAACATATGCAGAAAATTTTATTTTTATTACTTATTTTAAAATAAATGAAGTACTATAGTTCCCACAGCAGTTGTACTGGTAAAACAGTTCACAAGATGCACCTGTCAGATTGCCACATCCAAACACAATCCAGCTGCTCAGAAGCTAATGATAGCCCTGTCAAGGTGATTTAGGGAAAGAACTTTCTCATTTTGCAGCTCATTCAATACCAACAACGGCCTGATATTTTTCAACATGATTCTCTGTCCTGTTTCTCACTTTTTTCTCTCTCCAGAATAATAGCCATAAGCTTGAGAAAGTCACAAAGCAAGCAGTTCTTGTTTGCATTTCCTTACACTCAGCTGCTTCTCTGTAACAGGTAAACAAGTTATACCAGCCTATGACACACTGCACCACTTTCCACCTTAACCCTCCAATACCAGCTTTGCCACATTAAGACTTGCAAATGATGGCTGATGCTGCTGCTGTGCACTATGTAGTGGCTTTTTCTTTTTAAAGAAAAACTTTATAAACTCTTGGTAACAACATCATCCCACAATGCAGCAAGTACAGACCTATTACCAACAGTGAATTCTCTAATACTATGTTTTAATACATGACAGGGAGACAAAGGCAGCTCTTGCTGTTTGAGTCTCCCCTTGGTGACACTGACTAAAAAAGGGGACAGTTCTGTTCCTTACAAGTTTGTTAAGGAATGCCAACAGCCAAAGGAATCATGTGTCATTCCATCAATTTCCTGTTCAAGGATTTTTTTTTATAATGACTACATGTGCAACTCAAGTGGAACACACAATGAGCAGCCAGACAGCAAGTTAAGGTTTGCAGCCTCCAGGTAGGGCCAACTACCACAACAGTAAATATTAATGTAGTAAAGGACATTGAAAGAAGTGTTAAATTAAGAAACTTCTAATGCCTGGGGTGGCCAGAAAACTCTGTAAGTACCTTTTCTGTATCAAAAGCACTTAAATCAATTCCACCTCACCACATACAGTATTTTTTTTCCAGAAAGCTATTTAATTATCCTATCCTAAACAGCAGTACCATGTTATAGCCCTCATAAACCTTATCAAGACTAGCAGTGTACATTTTCAGAAAACAGTTTAGGGCTAATTCAGAAACAACTTTCTCTAACATATTCTGAATTTACAGCCCTACCAAACCACAACAAGAAGCCAGAAAAAGCAAAAATGTCTACAGAGAAATGTTAAGTCTTCCAGGAAAGTAGCAAAAGACTTTGAAATGCTGATAAGTATTAAAACTCATCTCAGCTCTGGTACCCTTTGCATGACAATGAGCTGGCTCAATCCTCTTTGATTATCCTATATAAAATCAATGTGACTATTTTAGCATGCCATTAGAATCTAGCACTTTAGAGAATTCAAAAACTTCCACTGAGATTTTTTTTCCAAATGGTGTGTGAGTCGTGCCAGTGAAGACACTTATCAAATGACAGGAAGTAGCCAGGAGGTCCAAGTTAAAATAGAAGTATTTTGAGAAATAATGATGTTTTAGCTGGGTCACATTTGTTTGAATGTGAACAGATAGAATAAATCAAGCCAAACAGATCTGAGGACAAATTGATAACCATGCACACAAGAGTGCTTCAAACAGCTTCTCTTGAACTAGAAAGGAGTCATCAAATTCAAACATTAGTTTTGTCTCCTGCTATAATAAAGAATACAGGGATGATTTTTTTACATTGAATAAAAATGCTTCATTAAGTCTGTTTTCAAAACATGCCCAAGCATCATGATTTTCTAATCTATTATTCACTGAAATACCACAAGAAGCACCAAGCAACAGTTTATGCTACCAGTGTAAGTGTTCCATTTTTTTTTATTGGAAAGAACTCAGTGTACTGGAAAAATTGTGTTTACTGTTTACTTTGTACCTTTTGTTGTATCTGAAATGCTGTTTAGCAAGGCACACATCAAGTCCCCTTCAATGTGGTGAGGATTCAGGATGCGAGCTGACCGCTGGGTCATTTTGAATTGGTTTTCCAGTTCCAGGAAGCTTTTGTCTCCAGAAAGAACAGTGAAAGGAATTTGCTTGGGCAGGTGCTCATCCAGACGACCAGCCTAAACAAAACAAATAGCAAGTGTTGAACAGAGATCATGTTTTTATCTCGTGGCATTTGGCTGGCTTTGTGCAAGACTGGTCTTCATTGGAAAGTTTTCTGTACCAATTTATTCCTGCCTTTATGATCCAAGCCACATTACCCCACTGTGAAAGGCACTGTGTCAAGAGTTTGATGCTCATTTCTTCTCTATGCACAATAGATACTGGTGATGGCTACCAGAACAGTACAGATGGAGTATGGCACAAATTCCTAAAAAGCAGCATTTTAGAACTCTCTCTACATAAAACAAGTCATCTCTACAGAGCATTTTAAGAGTAACATAAAAAGCATGATGAAAAATAAAACTACTGTTGCAAAAATGTGCTTATACAGATAGATAGGCAGTAATTTATTTAACTGATGAAGCACTATATGGCCTCAAGCTGCACCAGGGGAGGTTTAGATTTTCACTGAAAAGATTGCCAAGCATTGGAACAGGCTGCTCAGAAAAGCAGTGGAGTCACCATCCCTGGAAGTGCTCAAAAATCACGTGGATATGGCACTTAAGGACATGGCTTAATGACAGTGGTAGTGCTGGGTTAATGGCTGGATTTTAGGATCTAGAAGGTCTTTTCTGACCTTAAAATCTATGATTCTACATTAGGAACACGAGTCCCCATGGCATCCCAGATTCCTGTCCCTCACCTCCACATCCCCAACCCTGCCAAAGGCCAAAGTCTACTGAATAAAGGCACTGCCCTTTGTCAGCTCAACAGGGTCTGTGAAAGCAGCACCATTCAACTCCACTGTAAACATGGCTCGAGATTAGGGCTACTTGAAGAGAGACAAAGGAGATACATATCACTCTCAAAGAGAAACTGTAACAAGTGCAGGATTTTTACTCTTCATTCCCTAACCAGCTCCCTTCCCCTCCACAACAGACTGTTGTCCAATTCAGGCTAATTTTTAAGTCACTTCTCAACCACCTGACTCCACTCAACCCAGGTTTATCATTCTTTACAGGGGACACAGAAGTGTCATGGAAAGAATCTGAAAATGTTATCTGCTATTAGTACTTAATATCAATAGCAGATAGCATCTGCCACCCTTCTCTGGGAACAGGACACAATAAAGCAAGCGTGCCCTAACTTACATGAACACAGAGAGCAAAGTCTGCTGCTTCTCTTCTGGTACTGCAACGTGGATGAAGAAAGAAACATCCAATCCTCTTAAGATAATTGTAAATTTTGCAATGCACTGGAGGCTTCCAGTTGCTGTATCCTCCTATACAGTGAAGGGGAATAATATTAATAACAATAAAAACCAAACATGAAAAATAAACAAAACATGGGTTTGGGTAGAAACACCTCTATGAATTAAGAATGCAAGAAGGCAAAAGCAAATATAAAACTGTCTTTAAAGACAGAATTTATTCTGACCAATGTGAAAGCTAAGAATAACCCAAATCCCCCCAGCCTTCTTGTTCTTTAGATAGAAGGCAAAAAAATATGATGCTACTCTATCAATTTTGTACAGTTTTTTTTCCTTCAAATCCTGAAAAGCTTATCTTCTAAATATCATGTGCTTTTAGACACAAGGATGTGTTTTTCTGCAGTCTGAAGCACAGTTACAGTTAATGTGCAGAATCAGAAGAGCTCTGGAAACATAGTACAAGTACAGAAATGCTTCTCTTAGGGAAACCTGTACTAGAGGAGTTACACAGTCAACATGCACAGTAACTGCCTCACACAGCCCATGTCAGAATTCATTAAAAAGAGGATCCAAAATCTGGAGTAACAGCTGAGAGAAATGCTGGAGTCCTGACACACTCATGGATGCAGTCAAGGACAAGCAAAATGAGGCTACAACTGGGAAAAAAGTGCAGGAATTTTTTAAACAGTATACCAAGCATGTAGGTACAGGCTAAGAAAATAGGTGGACAATAAAGATGAGCTGAGTGTAGATAAAATCAGTACCAGACTGAAACAAGTTGCAAGGGAAAGGAAAGAAGCAGGAAGTCTTTCAAGAAGAGGGGAAAAACCAGAGGAGCTTGCCCCATAAAAACACATATGGCACCATAAAAAGGCAAGCAAGTGGAAGGATCATTTGACCAGAGTGACTAAGAATCTTTGAACATTCCAATGGCAAACAAATAATGAGTCTGCAACATGGAGTTGCAGACAGCAACAAAATGTTGCTTTATCTGTTAGATGATAGAGTGGCTGGATGTAGGAAAGGATTTTGAACAGAAAATGAAAGCAGTCATTGATGGCACTTCACATGAGGACATGGGAAACCAGTGTTCAAGTAACCAGGCTGCAGAGGATGGTTTACATCAACATGTCCACCCACAGTCTGACAAAGAAAAAGCATTCCTCAGTAGATTCCTCCTGTTTCCTCCCTGCCTTTTCAGCCTAATGGCAAGAAGATGATGGCAAAAATGATCACACAGATTAAGAGTCTGCACAGAAATGATTTAGTGGAACCTGTCCATAAGAAAAAAATGCTATTTGCAAGTTGTTCTTGTCTGCCCTCAGCCACTGCTATTTGGGAAAGACTTGTATTTAGCTGGCCTGTTTTTTAGCCGCATAAATGTGCAACATAAGCATTTGACCAGGGCAGCTGAAAACAACGACAGACCTGTATTTATGTCATTTGTTAGCCCACAAATGGATGAAAGACTGAGTATCTGAAGACAGAAACAATACAGAGTCCAGACAATACAATGGAGGAACTCAAAGCAAAGCTAAGGCTATACTAGAAACAGGAATAATAAAAATAATGCAGATATATAGTATAAAAATAATAATTAAAATTCAGAAACGTTGTTTGGGAAATTCAGGAAAAAAATGTTGCTGTATTTTCACAGGTGAAACAAACAAGAATAGCATGCCTCAAGTAACTACACAAATCATTATTATGAGAAGGTACCTACAACAATACATTCAGATGTGCCTGGGAGCAACCTTAGTGTTCCCAGGCTCAAAACCAATATAATTGACACTAAAACTGGTAATTTTTTCTTTAATATGAATATGGCCCATTTTATTTCCAAGTAACTCTTTAGCATATTTGTTTAGTTCAGGTGCTTAAGGGGCCATTGCCATGAGGCAGCCTGCATGCAGCAAACCCATTAGGAAGTAAGGAATTGAGTGGTGCTGATATGGGCTGTGCTGTGCCATCAGGCACCTGTGTTTGGAACATCTCTGGGCACAAAACTCCTAACAAGCAGGGAACAGATTACAGGTTCAGGAGTACAGATTACTGAATCTCTACCACTTTACAGCTATACTTGCTCTGCCTTCATCAACTAACTGGAAAATCTGTTTCTAAGAGGAAAAAAAAGTGACCCAGGCATCAACAGGCCTTTCTGTACAATCTGAGCAGCATGACAACTCTCAGCTTTCAGAATAGCCTTGATTATCTTTTAGGGGAAGAGATAATGAAAAACTCTTAGCAAGGAAGTGCAGTGCAATAGTGTTTAGCAAGTGCAAAACACACCTGACCTGCAAATCTGGTAAGATGATGACTGTGTTCCAGGCCATAAATATTTTGAAACTATCCCTTATCTATGTTTTACTGAAAAAATCAAGGTACCACAGATAAAATAATTGTAAAGGTAGATAGAAAGAAAACCTGTAGAAAAAGCATGAGGTAGACAAGCAGTTGGTTTAAAAACAGTTAGATAAAAACATCAAGTTAAATGGATGCTACTGGCAGACTTTGCAAAATGGTATGACCTATAAGGTCTCTTTCAACCCAAACCATTCTATCATTCTATGAAACCCATGACAATGTGAGTTCCATCAATCACTGGTATCTTTAAGATGGGACATACAGCTATTGTTGTACAGGATGACCAGGACCACTCTCTACAAAACAGGCCAGAGACAGAACAAAATTAAAAGTCTAAGAGTGTAAAATCATGCCTTCTGGAACTAAAAATCCAAACCAAAATAAAAAATCCCAGCCTTAAGAGAAGGACTTAGGAGTTAATATAATCTCTGAGTACTTTGGGTGCCCTAATAATTATGAAAATATGGTACAGCTGAAGTAAGTTCATAAGGGAAGCCAGAAAGACTCCTAAACAGTTCTGCAATTCTGGAACTATTCTACAAGGACTCGTAGGAGCAGTGGAGGTTTAGATGGAATTGGAAAAGTTCAAGAAACTACTTTAGAATCTTAGTGCCTACTTGCTCCTGTTCTTTATTCTCTCAGATTCAAGGAATCACTGCTTGAGTATATGTGTAGACTTGTTAATCTTATCTTTGAATTTACTTCAAACATTGTTTTTACCTTGAAAACCCCAGATAAATGTCCCTTGGTTCAGGTTAGCTGGCAGCTGTGTGAAAAAGCTTCCCCAGTTGTCCAGATCCACCAACACAATGTGAGTCATGGTACTCAGATAGTCAAGATCAGGAAGTTCACCATCTTCAATGGGATAAAAAGGACACATTACAAATTCATGTGACTTTCTGATCAACAAACTTGCTTTTGAAAACTCTTGTAGACACATATGTAAGTGAAAAGTCACAGAAAGATAAGCTACAAAACATGATGCTATTTGATGACTGCATAGATTTTAAAATCAACTGAATTAGCACTTAATAATGCCCAAATTAGAGAGAAAAGTAGAATCTGTCCATATGATGATGATGTAGACCTGGATAGTTTTATGGTAAGCACAGAGAGCTGTCGTCTGCACCAAGACACTTTAATAACTCATTTAATGTCCAGCTGTGTGCCCCTGACGATGGCAAGTCTCTGTGACATTCACCTGCTTGCCTGCATAAAAGCACATAAAATGTTTAGATATGCACTTTTTGCTGTACTTCTAACATAAATGTCTACCTCTTAATCAAAAGCATTATGGCACCACTAGTAATCAAGAAACACTTCCAATTTCTGAACACAAGCAAACAATACATACTGGGAATATAAGTTCTCAGCTGATACTGCCTTTTGGCAAGCTAAGAAAGCTGAGATGATGGTATAACAGCATTGCCCACACAGAAAGCACTAACAGGCTCATAAATATTTATATATATATATATATATGTATATATAAAAAAGGCGAGTTTCTTTTGAATGTGTATGATCGATCACTTTTACACTTCTAGGCATTAGATCCCTAATTGGGATGTCCTTGATGGTCCTCCTCCTTTTAACACCAAATTATGCTCCAAACTAATTTGAAAATCAAATGTTTCAGTCTCAGAATTCTCACATCTGCCTTTTTGTTTGGTTTTTTTTTTCCCCCCAAGACTTCATACAAATGGCATATAACAATAAACTGTGGAGTCTGAGTTTTGGAAATTCAAGTACTGAGAAATCAGTATTTGAGAAGTAATAAGTAGTAAATTCTAAGCTCATTTATAGACTGGATGTAACCAAATGGTATGCGACACGTACTGACAATGAAACAGAGTGTGTTAAGGACAGCAATAGTTTTCTAGTGCTGAAAGATATTTTCCACATACTTTCACTAAGTTCTTCAGAATGTTCTAAGTCCTCATTTTTAATTTTCTTTCCCTCTATTGGGGCCTGCAGAGAAGAAAACTGTTGACTGTCCTGAGTTTTGGATGGAGATGCTTGAAATTGCTGCCTGTTAGTTTTTCTGACCACACAAGCCCCACTTGCAGAAAACTTGAATACTGTGTCTTCTGATTCTGCTGCAAGACTTGATAGATCAGGTTTCTGCAAGAAGCAGTGTTTCATGTGATAGTGCTGATGCGCGCTTTGGAGATCATCAAAGTTCTTGTTGCATGCAGCACATCTAACAACATACATCTCTCCCTTAGAGTTTACTGACTTGTGGCTCTTGAGGTGACTGTTCATATCAGCAATATTCTGTGCCGTGGCAGAGCACAGGCAGCAGCGAAACCACAAGTTTCCTTTCTGCAGCATGGCTTTCTGACAACTCTCATGATCGTTCCTCCGGTTTATTTTGGAGATGTAAGTGGTCCGGCAACCGCAGGTTAAGCGCTCTCCTTGTTCCACTGGGAGGAAGTCCTCATCCTTTTTTATTGACAGCTCCATCTGCTCAGGCACAAATGTATAGTCCATGCTATGAAGCGTCTTGTAATGGATTAGAAATTCTTCCTCTGTGTTGAAGAAGAAATTACCACAAAGGCCACAGAAATATTTAATCTGCATCTCCTGATTATGATGCTCTTGGAAGTGCCGCTGCAGAGTTCCTACTTTCCGAAAATGATTTTTACATATGCCACATGAGTACCTGTGAAATGCATGGCTTTCTAAGGACATGCAGTGTTGTTGAACACTCTCTTCAGACTCAAACATCTCCTCACAAATGCGGCACTGCCATTTTCCCACAGCAGGACCACTTTCAGGGGACAGTTCCACAGGGCCAGAAATGCAGTCTTTATCTCCACCTGCAGAAATGCTCACTGCATCAGAAGCAGATGGCATAGGTTCATCTTCTACAGCTTCTTGCTCGTAGTAGTAACTATGCCCACCATGAAATTCAGTTACATGTCTCATAATATCCTCTTCTCTAAGATCTACAGAGCACGCTCTGCACCAGAGAAGAAAATTAGTCAAGTGTGCTCCTCCATGGAATCGACTCATATGCAGGCGGATAATGCTTGAATTTTCAGCCAGTTTTCCACACACAGCACACTTGTGACAAATCCTATTTGCTGATAAAATGTGCTTTTCTACTGACTCTTCTGTAAAAAACTTTTGAAGGCATTCACAAAACCAGGCTTTTACTTTGGAAGCAGTACCTTGACTTTGGTTTGCAACTTTATCTTCACTTTTACCTTCTGAATTACTCCTCCGTTTTGAAGGACTAGATCCTGTTTCACTGGAGGACTCATCTGGACTCAAGTGTCTTTTCAGCAGTGGTCTTGACCGTTCCACAATATGGGCCAAATGAGACTGACTTTTATGTTTTCCATTGACATGGCAGAACATCAAGATTGATTCTTCCAGTGTAGTAAAAACTCTAATGTTATGTTGAGTGGTTTGTTTGTGTTGGGTCATCTGATTCTTATCAGCAAACAGTTCATCACAGTTCTCACAGTGACCTTTCGTTTTAAATATCTCTGCAACTTGGGAGATGCTTTTCTTTGAAAGTGCCATGGGCCCAGAATTATAACAACGTGTTCTAGAACGGATAAAAAACATAAAGAAGGTTATATCACCACCTGAAACATTTGTAAACTTTCAGATGTACTCAATATATTACCAAGTAGCTACAGCAGTAAGTGCATGGAAACAGGGTGCTCTGTGTACTTTAACCTACCTACCAGCCTGCCAACAAAACATGCAATGTATATTTAGTCTCTGAAACTTGAAGAGAATTAGGAGCTAATTTCCAAAGCTAGCATGTAGATTGATGCTTATGTTTTTGACTGTACATTTTCAAAATCAAATGCTGTAAACTTAGAAATAGTGGAACAGCAAAAAGCTTTTGTTGTTCTGTTACAGCAAATACAAAAAGGATCCTGACATTGATCAGCTTTCTGCAGTGGGGTAAAGTTAAGGGGGCAGGCTTTTGATTGTTTATTCAAAAAGTCAACATTCAGATGGTCCTAGCTGCCCTGAAATCCACTAGTTTCATTAAAAGCATGTCTGCATACCTGTCACTGATCTATGGATGTTCACATTATAAAGACAACTGCCTTTCACAAACCTGAAATGAGCTGTTAATTCCATATGTGAGCGCAGTATTTTGAAGCAGGACATACATTTCACTTGGAAGGAGACCTCTTTACACAGGGATATCAAAAGGTTCTTTGCAAAGGATGGAAAAGGTAGTGGATCACCAGACTTCAGTGCATCTGTAAAACAGAATGGTACAAAGTGCAACCACACATTAGAGTTTCCCAATACAATTTCAGCTCTCTGATGACATAATTACTGTTGTTACTTGTCTGTCATAGGGTTCAGAATGCAAGTTAACAAATGTCAGCTGAGCTACAGTAACTGTGCAATGGAAGCTGTAACTAAATCCTGAATTTTTTAACTTCTGTAACTATCTTATACCTGAATCTGTTTGCAGTTTGCTTTTTTGTACTCTGTGACTGATTTTACTTCCCTTTTCCTCCTTCTACAATGCCAGGTCAATATCTCTTTTAGGAAGGTTCTTACCTTCTTCTCCTCTACCTATCACCAGCTATCTACTCTTACTAGATAAAATTTTGTTTTAAGCCATACAGTATTTTTTCTGAAAGAGCACACTATTTATTTAACAAGTTTCCCACATACCCTGACCATCTCTTTCTTTCTTTCTTTCCCATCCTTAATGTTAATTCTTAAATTTTTAGATGCAGGACTTTCTGTTGTTATGAGTATATACTCCACAGGTAACTCCTAGTACCAGCAGAGTAAGAAAATTCTACTGAAAAGATAATGGAAAATGGTTTATGGGTTATATATTGTTCATGTTCTGTACCTCAGCAGGCAAATTTTCTTTGACTTTTCTGTTTTAGTAGATGTGATGATCAGCAGGCAGTAATTTGAGGTTATGCCTTTCAGCTAATTTCACTGGCAGATCTCAGGCCATGCTGATAATTATTAATCATGAAGCCTAACTAATGCAAAGTAAAAAATGGAGCACTCAGTTTTTTGTTCTGAGTTAAGTACTCTCCAACTCTAAAGAAGGAAACACTAACTTGTGCTTTTAATCTTTTCAAAGCAATGGCTCACCAGTAATCTTTTTTAAAACCTATGACCCGAATTCAAAAGCATCTGCAGTCATCACATTCAGAATTAATAACCTATATAAAAATAAAAGTCCATTAGAGTGACAATGCATAAGGGAAAGTATAACCATGCAGCTGACTGTCACTTCACTACAAGAAGGCAGCAGTACTGACTCAGCCTGCAGGAGATTCCTTCAAAGCCTGCCTTTTCTGTACATTTCCTGCAGCCACTCTAGAGGACACCAGAAGTCAAAGATACATCTATGAAGATGAGAAATAACTCTATGAATCCTTTTGGCCATGTAGGCTTGTTCAGACAGTTGCAGCATCTAAAACATGGCCACTTAGCAGTTCAGCTAACAGTGAAGTAAATGCTTTAATGCCTATTGCTTATGTCAAAAATAAAATCAGTACAGCTATGTTGGGCATTAACCCTGTTTGCAATGCCATGATCAGACAGATCTTTCCTCTGGACTTTGTTAAGCATGGTTCAGGATGCTGCCAGCTCACAACATAACCAGTGTTTCAGCCATGTAGTCCGTGCAAGCCATCAGACCAGCAGCAATGTTCCAGCTAATCACTCTAAATTTGCAATTGTATGCAGAAGACATTTTCACAAGTCTTTGCCATCAGGAATGCCAAGGGCACTGACAAGAAAAATAGCCTCCAAGCACACTAGAGTAAGGGGAAGGATCTCAACAGCCACTCTTAACTGGAACTGAAAAGAAATGTACGTGTTCTGCTGAGTCTCTATCAACATGCTAAATGTAAAGTTATTCAGGAAAGTAGTTGCATGGAGTCACTAGAGGATGAGAAGCCAATATGAGAGACTCAACAGCATCTCATTACAGCAAGTGTGACAGAGGATTTCTACAAAAATATGAATTTCAAAGCATCACATTTGAGATCTTAAAAGAAAAATAAGAATTCATTAATAACAAATTTTAAAACCTTAAGCTTTTTTACTCAGCAGAAAAATTTAAGTCAGTTCCTATCTTAAGGATGAATTATCAGAAAAAATTAAAAGCAGTACACTTAGTAGCAACGTACCACTCTGTTCAGGAAGCTGGATGATGTGTATCTGTTGCGACATGTGCTGCCAACACTCATCTCTTTTGGTGAAAAGGAGGAAGCACTTTGGGCATGCAAAGCACTGAATATGCTGTGGAGGAATACCTTTTTTATGCCCATCATTTTCATTTAGCTGGAAGATAAAATTATCTATTTAGGAAAAAAATTAAGTGAAGAAACCAGGCCCAGTTCTCATGTCCTCCCATTCCTCTCTCATTTATGTGGTAATATTTTCACTTTTAGGTTTTCAGCTACCACATCTGTATTTACCTAAAGCCTACTCCTCTGCATTTCAGCTGACAAGACACAAGGAAGTGGCCAAAGTACCACTGTCAAACCGAGCTACATCAACCCCTACTACACTGGCCATTTCTCCATCCCCTTCTTGCACCACTGGGAGCAAGTACCTTCCCAGGGACTATGGGCTCCAGCAATTCTTAGCTATTCCCTTTACCCAGGCTCCCAGAAAAAGCTCCCTCTGTCATTAGAGCAGCTGCTTTACCTCATGTCAGTTCTCCTCTAATCTTGCTAACCTCTAACTCCCCAAAATGCTGCTAAAAGGTCTGTGTCTTCTGTAGAAGTCAACTCCTTCCACCAGCTTTGCGTGCTACATCAACTTCAGAGCTCTGCCTTCAGGGCAAAAATCCTTTAGTTCTGCTTCTGATATTTTTGCTTGCTTTCTACATCACTCCAAGAATCTTCATTATATGCTTAGAGCTCTGATTAGGATTATCTCCCCATTCCTTACATATCAAAGTAATCCCATAGTAATCCCATCTTCTCGCTGTCTGCAGGAGACACTCACTGCCCTTCCCCACCTTGGCTGCTACTCCTGCTCATGTCCCTGAACACAAGAGACACACAACTTTGAAGCAATGGAAAAAGAGCAGGGACACACTACAGTGCAGTCTTTCAGCATGTCAGGTATGACTAATTATCAAATTATTACTACAAGCAAAATTTAGTCAGATTTTCAGAAAGTCTAACACTTCCCCAGATTTAATGCAGCTTCTGGAGACTTGGTATATCTGTTATGAAAACACTCAATTTTGAAAATGCTATCCACTATCCAATTCAATACCAGATTGCTTAAATAAAAACCCCCACCTCCTTTCTGCTGCTTCTCTTTGCTGTCAAGTTATTTCACCCTAACTTCCTGCCTTTACCTTTCATAGTTCTGGAAATGCAGAAAAAGGGAATATGTATCAACAACACCAATAGATGGACAAGAGGTGCAAGACGGAACTATGGTCCTCTTGAAAGCACATCAAAAATACAACCTAATGGTCACATCTAAAAGGAATACTGTCAGGCTACACCAGCTGTTTGAAACACAGCAGAATCAGAGAAAACAATCTTGAAGAGTAAAAGAGAAGAGAGAAAGAGGGTTAAAGAAAAAACAAAACAAAAAAACCACCAAAAATCAATGTATAATTTTAAGTCTTAAACCCTCTACTACATTCAGTCAGGTGAGTTACTTATCCTTATGCTCTTGCCTTAGATAAAAGATGATCACTGTACTGCTGAGAGGTTGCAAATCTTTCACAGCATATCACACAGGCAAAAGCATTATGTGGGGGTCCATGTAATGTGACTGTTGGGTCACAAGGAGAATGATCAAACCTGGAGAAGAAGAAATAATTAGCAAGCTAGTCCCCTATAAATAGTCAAATAGCTTTTCTTCAATGGGAAAAATTCTGTCCTTTGAAGATATCAGACAAAAATTCCCTATCTAACCAACCTAAATTATAAAAAATCCTTATTTCCCCTATCATGACATGCATCCTGCACAGAGATGATTCACCCTGCAGCTTACGTGTTAAAACGGCCACTCAAGAGAAATCATACTGCTTTTAAGGGAACTAACAAAATCCTAATTTCCTACATAGACATTTTAATAATTCATTTATTTTTATCTCCCTGTACTAGCTTTGGTTGGGATGGAGTTCATTTTTTGTAGCAGCTTGCATGGTTGTTGTGTTTTGGATTTAGGAACAACAGTGTTGATAGCACAGAGAAGTTTCAGTTATTGCTGAGCAGTGCTTGCAGAGTGTCAAGGTCTTCTCTGTTTTTCAGACTGTCCCACCAGCAAGATGTTGGGAGACAGAGCTGGGACAGCTGACCTCAAATGGCCAAATGGACATCCCACAGCATAAGACATCATGCTCAGCAATAAAAGTTGTGTAAAGGAGGAGGAAGGAGATAGTTGGGAAGACAAATGCCATCACTCCAAGTAACTATCACATGTGACAGAGCTCTGCCTTTCAATTCCTTGTTTGGCTTTGCATGTGCACACAGTTTGTGCTTTACTTATTAAGCTGTTTTTACATTAGCCCACAGTGCTCTCACCTTTACCCTACACCCCACTAGTGTGAGTGAGTGAGCAGCTGTGTGGGGCTGAGCTGCCTATGGGGGTTAACCCATGACACTGTCCTCAACTTCTCACCATCCTGCCTATGGACACATTCAGTAGTTAAAGGGCAGCATCTGCTGGAATTGAACACTGACACACTGAGTACTGACTAGCAATATCAGCTATGAACACACAGCCTATAGCTTTTGTTCCTCTTTCCCTGCATTAGGGGCTTTTCTCTTTATCTTACCATCTACTTGTGTAAGTGAGCCTTTTGGTTTATTTCCAGTTTGGATGAAGATGAAACTAAACTGGAGTACAGAAATCTGACTTCTCAAAAAACTCAGATACTAAAAAATGCTAAACAAGAGGAAGCCATAAATTCTGAATTAAAAAAAACAAACCACACACACCAAGTAAAAAACTAAACCAAATCATCAAAAAAAAACCTCCATGAAGCTCACCTACATAAATGGTAACATATTAATTGGCTCTCAAAATGGAGTTTAAAGCAGACTTGATGCTGATGTCCTAAGTTAGAGCACATTCTTTCATTATTACTCCTTGCACTGAATTCTTGCAATTTATTTCCTTACCTCTGAAGGTGACCCAGAAGAAGATGTACATTATCAAACTGTCTGTTGCAATGCATCACAGGACAACATTTGGGTCTGCTGTTGACTTGAGTCTGACCTGTCCTCCTAAAATTACCCCTTCTTCCACCATTAACAGAGCCTGGTTTCAGACCTGTGTTCCAAAACAAAGTACTTAACCAGAAGCTGAATTACAGAGGCATAAGAAAACAACACACAAGCTCTAAAACATTCCAGAATCAAATCTCTCCTTCAATCCTACTACAGTAAGTCTGCTCTTTCACTGTCTCTTCAATTCCCAGTAGTACAACTTGTTTAAAAAGTTTGACACCCTTCCTCCAGGTCCTCCAGGCAGTATTTTAAATTTATTAAACATTGTGAAGTTACACGTACACTTTCCTAAGCAGCAGCTCAACAGTAGTATTATTTTCTTCCTGGCAACTTGGCTTATAAAAAATAACTAACATTGCCTTATTGGTTTTTACAAAATTTAAGATATGAAGTCTACACAGCAAAGCATTACAAGAATAGCTTTCATGGAAGTAAATGTTTAGAAGTTTTTAAATTGTATGCTCCAGCAAAATTAATATTGTAGGATTTGGTTATCCACAAGGCACCTGCAGCTCAGCACAATTTTCACATGTTCTGCTCTGTAATGCAGGACTTAGAAACCATCACTCAAACTTAGTTTTCTATTCTTACCTGGCATTTTTAACCACTGGTCTACACATAACCTTGCAGCTTCTGTATCACTGTGTTCCCGAATAAATTCTAGTTCTTGCAACCCATGGGCATATTGGGAATCAACTTTCTCCTAAGGGAAAAAACATACCAGAAAATGCTGTGATCAAATTGAAAGAATAAAAGAAAAAACATTAAGTATGTATTGCAAAACTTACATATGGGTTCCTAAAAAACACACCCACAAAAGCCTAAGTGAGGGGAAAAAAAAATCTTACAACTAGACTGACTTTTACTTAATACAATAAAAATGGAGTGTAATAGAAAAAAAAAAGAAAAAAGTGTTTTCACTTTGAAGACTAAATTTGATTCTGCAGCTTGCACTACCTGATGAAGAGTGAAGAGCCAAGCAGGAAGAAAATATTTGTATTTAACAAAAGGATCTTTTAGCCTTCATTCTCAAGCTGCTTTAAAAGCTACACAGTTACCTCTGACTCCACTTTACAGTTGAAGAACTGTATGTGGAGGCACAAACAGATTGCCAAATGAAAGTGGAAGAGACATAAGGGGGATGTAGGCCTCCAGACTTCAAGGCTACCTTGGACTATATCTAATTTAGCCTTTTACTCCATTGTACTGCAGTTGCATAGTTTACTATAGACTGCAACAAGCTGTATGCATAGTAGAATTGTATGATTTTAAAAGCCTTTAACAGTGTTGAGAAAATTAGGTTGGGAAGTTGGCACATTTTCCCGACTCTGGATTTATATTTGCCACTGTTCAATTCCATCAAGTTGTTGTAATCACATTCCTTCAGGATGTCCAGCTCCCACTGACAGCACTCCTACCATTAAACCCACTGACTGGATCTCCCAGTTTGTAACAAAAGTAAAAAGTATATTCTTTTCAAGTGGCTGCAAAGTGCAACTAACAGGACTCAACTTTAAAATCATGCCTTAAACATTGAAAATTTTTTCCCACTACGAAATACTACCTGATACAGATTTAATGCAGCAAACAGCTTCCCAAAAATCTCAGACAAAAGCAGATAAATAGCAAGGCTTGCTGCATGGTGGTTTTTGATAACTGTTATTTTTCAATTAATTGAAATATTAGAATATCAGAATAATGGATACTAAGGTTCCACTGCTATATCTACAAACAAGAGAAGAAGTTTTTGTCAGTGGTTTTCTTTCATTTAATTTTCCCCCTTAGGAAGTGCAATAAGACTAGAAAATTGATCAGTTAAAAGCCACTGAAAAGACAAAGTCCATGTAGTGCTTCACATGATGCCCCAGAAGCAGAAGTCTAGTTGCTAATTCCAGGTATGCCTCACCAATTTTTTTATTTACTTAGTAGTGAAAACAAAGATACTTGTGACTACAAGGCCTTTATTATGCATTTCTTCCAGAATAAAATACATCCAATACCTTAAAGGCTTTGTTTTTCTCTTCTTTTTGCTGTTTCTCTACTTCAACATGGCGTGCCAGGCGATCCAGGGTCGATGCAACTCGTTCCTTCTGGTAGTCAATGTGATCCTTACGCTTGGAATTGCTCTGCCAATGGAAGGTTCAGCCCTTCTGTGGTGATTGTTATGTAACAGACACTAATACAGTGAATAGTGATGCCCAAGCATCACCACATAATTCAGTAAAGATACTCTTAGCCAATGTTCCATGAGCTACCTTGTAGCTTTCTCTTCCTTTTTACCAGCATCTGTAGCTTCTGTTAAAAAACAAACAAAACCAACCCTCCCCCTCCACATATTCAAGGCAATTCAACATCAACACTAGGCTCACCCTGCAGCAGAGGAACATGCATGATTGTGCTGAGTGCCCTAGAAGTCTCCAACAAATTAAAAGTTAAGTTCTTCTATGTAAACAAAATCCCTCCTGACTTCAAAGCCAACATGCAGCGCATCCAAAAAATCTGAAAACTGCTATTGTTCTTTCCCTAACGCTGCCCACTATCTTCAAAAAGGCAGATCATGAGCTTTTTCTAGTCTAGGGATAGGCCATCTACTTCAGTTTCCTCTTCTTACAGTCAGGTCCAGTAATGATCCCTGTAATGACAGCCTGTGCATGTACAGAAGATCACCTTTCCTTAAGAATCAGGTTTATTACAAACATCCTCTGCTGCAATACAGGAAAACAAAAGTCAAAAGACAGTCACTGCTGCCAAAGCCAACTCTAGTAGGGTCTATCAATGTCCCTTTCAAAGGCCTTGCAGAGGAGGCAAAATAAGTTTGGGGGGATAGACAAACTGATGAGCCTGCTTCTGACTTGTACATTCTTAGAATGGATTATGAAGGATTAGGCTGAGCTAAACCCAGACTGTCACTGTAATAAGGTCATTCAACCATACATTGTTCCTAAAAAGTTATTTTAGAAAGATAAGGCCTTGTAGTAGACCAGGTATGCTTTCAGGATAGAAACTGGGCACCCTAACTTCTGAGGTTGCATGTAAAGTGACATTTATTTACAAACATTTTTTCAGATGACTGAAAGACAAATTAAAGTATCAAGTCATTTCAAGGTGGAAAAAATGACTCTGGAAAAAGTGAGTGCTGTTATTCTTGCTTTTCACTCAACAGCAAGTAGAAAAATCAAAATATTTCAATACTTGTTATTTAGCACTTGTTAAAAACACATCTAACAAGGCTTTTGTGAAGAGTAACTGATGGGAAAAAATACAGAAGACCAATTATTTTATTAAACCAAGACGTCTCAAAATACATTACAACACACTCACATGAAAATAAGAACTGCTGCTAGGTTCTTCATCCTCACTGCTGATGAGATCAATGCATTCAAGGACAGGCCTTAAAGGTCCTTCCTGGAAAAAAAGTGTTAAAAAACCTCACACAAAAGCATTAAATTGTCTTCCTCAGAGATAAAATGTACCATCTCTGCCATATACTGGCAGTTGCTTCAAGATATTAACAATCAACTATGTAGGGCAGGCTAAGAAGACCTACTGCCTCACAATGAGTGGCAGAGAGAAAAGCAGCATGGAATCCTCTCTGCTGCTCCTAATGCAGCTCATTCTTTACATTCTTCCACCTTTCAAGGCAGTAAAGCTGCTCAGCTGGCCAGGCATGAACAGTCCTCTGTCTCACTGGGGAGAGGAGGGATGAAATCTTGGACAGATGACAAAAGCTTCTATGAATCAAGCTGCCAGCCTCCAATTACCCACAAAGAGGAACTCTTTATGATTAAACAAAGATAACATGGTTTTCTAAATGAAATACAAAAAAAAAAATCCACTGCAGATTTGCTTCTGTAGAAACTGAAAGGTTCTACAATGCTTCTAAAAAATTAAACCTTTATTAAACAGGTGTTAGCAAGTAAGAGTTCAAAGACACACTCTGACCATCTGACTGTTTAATCAGCTCAATAATGTGTTTTGAAATGTTCAGCTCTGATCCTAACAGCTCCTTTAACAACAGACATTTTTTAAAATTTGTGTTTACTTACTCTCAGGGCTCAACAACTAATAAAAACTTACAAAACTGACAGCTGAAATGCAGAGTAACTTGCTTCCAACCCTAGAAGTTCAAGTGATCAAAACAATAAATTTAACACAAGTAATATTACACTTGTTTATACATTACAAGTATCTGTATTGTAACATATAAATTATTACATATTTCTGTATAATAATATAGAAATATTTCTATATTTATTTTATAAATAAATATATAATATAAATATATAAAAAGCCAGAGAGAAATCCTTCATTCTGAATATCTAATACTTAACATCACAGAGGTAAAGGAAGAAAAATCCTTAATTGGTAACTACCATGTTTTAGTGCATTACTTGACTTGGTATATTAACAAACTCTCCTCTAAGTCCAATGCCTTTGGTGCCAACTGGGGCAACTTGAATTATCTATTTCTTCACAGGGCATTAAAACTGTGAATTTCTTCACTCTTGCCTTATCTTTCCCAAGTAAGCAAAATGGGGGAAAGACCATGTAGAGAACACAGGAATAACAGCTTGCACTGTAGATTAAATCACATTTCTCTGGTGGTATGTTAAGCTTAAAATGCAATGATTTAAAATGGACAAAGTATGTTTTAATGAAGAATTAAAAGGTGGGAAATTATGGAAGAATAATTTTAAGTTTCTTGAATGAGGGTGAATCGGACTATAAAAGCTGAAAATCTCTGGCAGCAGCAGATTGACAAAAAGTCCTTATTTGATGGAGCAAAAGCATAGTCCTACAGTATGAATTCAAACACTCTAGTACAAGTAAATGAAGTAGAAAAAAACCAACCTAAAACCACAAAGAAAAACTGATCAAAGAAACAAAAAAACCCACACCAAAGCCACATCTGACCATCAAGAAGGAAAAAAAAAAAAAGAGAGAAAAAGGAAGAAAAACACAGATCACATAACATGGCTTACAGCTACTTGTTTTCCATTAAAATGAGCACAGGTTGGGGTGCCCCAGTAGCTTCTCTAATTCAATGTATACAGGACCATCTTGTGCACTGGATCTTAAAGACATGCAGATAATTAGGAGGCATCCATCTATAACATTTATGAAGAGTGTAAGTTTCCTGTCATACACATTATTATATGGACATGATGATCTAAAGCTTGCCAAGCAGTCTAGAAATCCTTTTGCTAAGTCCAAAGTCACCTTCACTCAGAGGAGCAAATGAGACCTGAAGCCAGGGTCACACACCTTTCCCCTGATATTCATCAATTACAACAGTAAGCTACTCACCCCAGGATATAAATCCTGCAGAAAAACTGAACAGAGTCATCTTCCTATATATAGCAGCCTCTCTTGGAAGCAATAGTCCCTGGGACCACAAAAGATCCCAATTATCCACAGGCAAAGCCAAAGAAGAAAAAAAGGTAGCTAGAAGTGTTGATTTTAGTTCCTTTGTTTCAGTTCTCTTTCAGTTACTGTTCTTGGTGCTCCAGCAGCCCTTCAATCCTGACACTTTGCAAGCTATACAAGCTATCCTTGTTCACTGCCCAGCTTGAAGGAAATGAAGCCTTTTTCAGTCACCATCACAGAATCATAGAATGGTTTGGGTTGGAAAAAATCATCTTGTCCCAACCCCCTGTCATGGGCAGGGACATCTTCCACCAGACCAGGCTGCTCAAAGCTCCCTCCAGCCTGACCTTGAACACTCCCAGGAATGGGGGGCATCCACAACTTATCTGGGCAACCTGTTCCAGTGCCACACCACCCTTATAGGAAGGAATTTCTTCTTAATATCTACTCTAAACATACTCTCAGTCTGAAGCCATTCCTCCTTGTCCTCTCACTAGATGCTCTTGTTAAAAGCCCCTCTCCATCTTTTCTGTAGGTTCCCTCCAGGTGCTGGAAGGCTGCAATTAGGTCACCTGGAAGCCTTCTCTTTTCCAGGCTGAACAATCCCAATTCTCTTAGTCCTTCCTCACAGGAGAGGTGCTCCATCCCTCCATCATCCTGGTGTCCTTCTGGGCTCACTCCAACAGCTCCCTGTGCTTCCTGTGCTGAGACCCCAGAGCTGATGCAGCACTGCAGGTGGGGTCTCACCAGAGCAGAGCAGCGCAGCAGGATCCCCTCTGTCACCCTGCTGGCCACGCTGCTTTGGTGCAGCCCAGAACACCACACAGCAACTTCTGGGCTGCAAGCACACACAGCTCATCCACCAACAGCCCAAGTCCTTCTCTGCAGATGCACATGGATACTTGGGCGTACATAATGAACTTTGAACTCAATCAGTTTTGCCCAAATCAACCAAAATATTAAGATGTCTCAGAGATAACCAACTACTTATAATTTTTGCAAAAAACCACCTATCCCTCCATACTAGAGCACCTAAATACCCCTGCAGAAAAAGTCAGTATGTTGAACTTCAGCTTTATTCAAACACCATACAACACGGGGAGGGATCTAGTAATTATTCAGCATATTGTTCAAAAATGAGACAAATCTACAAAAAAACAGCCACTAAAAATACTAGCATCATTGAATCACTTGACCTTAGTAACATCACTTGTTCCTTCAAGAAAAACATCTTTAGATATGTAGACGTGCTCCCTAGGGACATGGTTGAGTGCTGGGTTAATGCTGGACTCAATGATCTTAATGGTCTTTTCCAACCTAATTCTATGATTCTATGTAATCATTCAATCCTATGATTCTATGTAATCCTGCCATCCAGCACCACTTCACTGATGACAGACTGAGGCCAGAACACAGGCAGCATGAAAAACATTCTGCTTCTCTTGGATATCCAGCAGATACAAGTGTCTTAAAGTTATGTTCACATAAAGCACGTCAGCATTAGACTAGGTGTTGTTCAGTAAAGAGCACCTGACAATTTGAGAGGATTGTTTAAGGCCTCTAGCCCATTATTTCCTTCCTCTTCTAAACTGAGTACAGTGATTTCAAAGAATGAGCAGTGATTTATTCCTTTAACTTTAGGGGGACTATTCAAAAAGCAAAATGCTATGCAATACAATTACCAGGAAAGTTATCTACAGTCCCCTCTCACATACCTCACTGTAATACCTCCCTCACCTGCTCAGATACTCAAGACTGCATTTCCTCCCCAGGACCAACTGACATCATCTTACACCCTTCCAAGAAAGTGCACATAAACCTTTAAGATCGAGTTGTTATCTGCCACAAACATTCACAAATGAAATTATCTTTATGTTCAAGAGTAATGCTTTACATTGAAATATAATCATCAGTCATTGAAGACCCCTCTCCTGTCTACTGGACTACTAAAAGTGTATTTTTTACAACAAGCAGTGTATTTGCCATGCAAGCTCTACTTACTCCAATGAACTCAATCTCATCTTCACTTCCAGAAGCTGGTGATTTACTCTTGTGAAGGCTGTTAGAGTTATGAGACTCCATTATCTAAACATAAACAAATCATACTATATAATTTCACTTTTAAAGTTTTGTTTAACTATACAACATTTTCCATTTTATACCTTCTTTACAGTCTATCTGTATTCAACAAGTCTCTATCGTTCACTCCCAATTACCAGTGACACCACAATGGGTGATAAACGACTCTGACTCGAGTCACGCTACTGTATTTTTTCAGATATGTAAAACGCAGTTTTATCTACAAAGCATGCCAATACCTACACTCCTCCAGCAGCCGTAGCTGCAGTGTAGCACCCCAAGGACATGCTTGAGCCTGAAACCCCAGCAGGAGCCGAGACCCGAGCTCCAGCCTAGCGGCGCTCAGCCACCGACGAGCCGAGGCCGGCCCGCAACAGCGGCGGGCGAGCTCGGGCGTTTTTAGCACCTGCGGCTGCTTTGGGCCGCTCCAGGACCGCGGCAGAGGGCTGAGCTTCCCGCTCCAAAACAAGGCGGGGGCTGCGCTGCTGACTCACGTTCCCGCAGCGCACGGCCCCGCGGCTCACGGCTCTGCGGGCTCCGCACACCGCGCTGCGGCTGCCTGGGCCTCGACCGCGACCTCTGCGCTGCAACCGCCGGCCCCGTGGCCCGCGCAGCGCCCCGGCCCCGCGGCCCGCGCAGCGCCCCGGCCCCGCTCACCCGCCGCCGGGCCCCGCGGGCAGCAACGCCCCGGTCCGCCGTGTCCCCGCTTCCTCTGCGGCCCGGGGGCGGGGCGAGGGCGCGGCAGGGCTCGCCGGGATCGGGAGGTGCCGCCGCCGCCGCGCCCCGCGCTCCCCATGGCAGGTGCCGGCGCTACCGAGGCAGCACCATGGCGCGGGCCCCCCGGCCGGCGCTCCGGGCTCTTTCCTTCTTTTGGGCTCTCTCCTTCTTCCGGCCTCCCCTCGTCCGCCTTCAGACGGGCAGCATCGAGATCCGGCTCGGAGGGGGAAAACCCGCGCTCCGCTTCCGGGGGAGGAGGAGGAGAGAGGGAGGAGGAAGGGCAGCTATTGGGGCTGGCAGCCGGGGGGCGGGAAGGCGCCAAAATCGCCTCTGCGGGCCCGGCCGCTGTCCCGCTGCCGCTGTCCCAGCCGTGCTGGGCCTCCCCTCACACGGCGCTCGATCCACCCCAGGCATCTGGAAAGGTCCTTTCTGAAGATGTTGAGGGAGGCGCTGCCAAGGGCAATGGTGAAGTCCAGCTACACAGTGGTCGTTTCTCCACTCGTCTGCCAGGGCAATCAGTATCACTGAAGTTTGTCAATCTGGTCAAGCCTGGTTTTCCCTTGGTACAGCCATACCGACAACTCAATGATTTTCTTGTCGCTGAGAGGCCTGGAAATGGTTATTGGGATGTGTTGCATCATTACTTTCCCAGGGATCAGGATGGGGCTGACTGGCCTGTGGGTCTCCCTGCCTTCCTCCTTCCTGCCCTGGTTGAAGATGGAGGTGGCATTTGCTTTCCTCCAGCCTGAGGCACCAGTCCCAGACACCATGATCCATGAATGATAATTGAGAGTGATCTCACCATGACATCTGTCAGCACCTCAGTATGTGTTGGTGCATCCTGTCAGGGCCCATAGATGTAGCATGCATATGCCAAGCCTGCTAATGTGTGTATTCCCTGGCTTGATCCTCTCCCACCAAGGTACATCTTCCTAAAGGTCCAGCCTTTCCCCCTGAGTTTTGGAGCCTGAATTCATGAAGGCTTGTCTTGCTAGTGAAGACTGAGGCATGTTCTGTATTGCTGTATCATCTGTCTCATTTTGCAATGGGCCTATATTTTTATTAGTCTTCCTTTTGTCACCTATGTACAAAGTAGAAGCCATACTTGTTGTCTTTGACATCCCTAGCTAGATCCAATTCCAGTCATGCTTTATCTTTCCTAACTTCATCGCTGTATGCTTGAGCAACGTTTCTCTATTTCTCTGAGGTAAGCCATGCTTTGTATACTTCCTGTTTGTGTTAGAGTTTAACCAGGAATTCCTTGTTCATCTACACCAGGCCTCATGGCATATTAGCCTAACTTCCTGTTCACAGGGATGAACTATTCCTGAGCTTGGAAGAAATTATCCTTACATATTATGCAGCTTTCTTGGGCCCCTGCTGCCTCCAGGGCTATATCCCATGGGACTCTTCCAGGCAGATCTTTGAAGACACCAAAATTCACTCTCCAGAGTGGTGAGCCTGCTTTTTATTCTTCACACTCCCCTCAGGATCTGGAGCTTCACCATCTCATGCTCACTGTGGTCAAGGTTGCCTTGAGCTTTGTATTTCCCACAATCCCTTCATGAGTATAGGTCCAACAAAGCATTGCTCATTATTGGTCCTTGTTGACTCCTTTATGACTTGAAAGAAGTTACCAGAAACCTCCTGGATTGCCTATATCTTGCTGTACTGTCTCTCCAGCAAATATCTGAATGGTTGGACTCCCACAATAGGACCAGGGAGTCCCACAATAGGACCAGCAAACATAAGGCTGATCATCCATCTAGAAAAGGACTGGGAGATAACTCTATTATGGTGTCTTATAGACATTTCTTTGCTTACATTCAAGAGCTGAAGGTGACCTCTCCTAAGCTCCATCTTCTTGATTTTGTGTTCTGTTCCTGCTATATCACCTTATGCTCTTTGCTCTTTTCTCTGTCTCCACAAGGCTGCTGGTTACTCTCTCACTTAGTTTAAATCTCTGCTTATGTGGTCATGATCCTACTGGTAAAAATAGCTTTGCCCTGCTTAGTGAGGTGGATCTCATCTCTGTCAAGCAGAATGTGATTTGTAAGTAGGGTCTCATGGTCATACAACTCAAATCCTTGTCACCAACAGAGGTTCTGCCAACAAGTATTGACTTGTCCTGTCAGTGCCCCCTTGCTGCCAGGATTGGGAAAACTTCACTCAGTCCCCCACGCTCTTTATCTGTATCTATATTCTTGCTATTTATCTGCTACTGCTCTCCTGCTTCTTCATACTTTGCCACCCAAAGTAAAAGTCAGTATGAATCATCTTTACTCAATGCCTTGGGTTCGAGTAAGCTGAACAGTGCAAATGTCATCTGTGAGTTTTGTGTCAGTATAAAAGAGCTGCTTGCACACACTTCACTGGTGAGTGCTTATCAAATCCTGTAAACACAGGAGAGAAAGAATTCAAGGCACCCAAAAATGCATGTTAAATTCTGGTGTAATGCAAGAGAATAAACAACTACCAGCAATATCATGTCACATACTGTAAGGATTAATTGGTGCACTTATTTTTCTTGGAAACACAGAGTTACTTCTGTTAGTTTCAAGCCTCTTTCCATATGAATGTAAAAACAGCTTTTGGTAGAAGATAGACATACTGAGGTGCTAGTTGTATCTACTAGTTATGCACTCATTAACAGCTGTATGACTTAATCACTCTTGTTGGAGTGTATAAAAAACACTCATTTGTCTACTTTTATTTCATTATTAGAATAATGGAAACCTGACTGCCTCTTGGAAAGTCATTGTTGCTGCCTAAAGTTTAATATTTTGCATTTGTCACTTGAATTTGCTAACAGAACATTGATAGCAGTCATTCTGTTTGTAGCTTGCATTTGCACTTGATAACTTTTGATTCTTGAGAACAGATTATATGAGGATCTGTAGTAAAGAGTTACTAGGGCAGCATGGTGAAATTATATTTCCAAACTCTGACACCCTATGCAAATGATGCTCATTTAAATATTTCAGTAGTCATTCACGTAAATGTAAATTCAGAATTTTTCAGTAGTCATTAATGAAAATGTAAAACTCTAGCAATGACCAGTCCAAATTTCCTCAATGTATGTAAACAATACAGTTAAGGGAAAGAAATAGTAAGGGAGTTGCCATGCAATAATTTCCAATATGCTAAAAAAACTCTGAATTCCAAAATTTGTGTATTTCATGTAGTTCCTGTGAAAGAACAGTTGTCAGGCTTTGGGCCAGCTTAGGAATGTTCTCATGCAGAACTTCTTGGGGAGGGTAGGGGAGGTGAGGAAAGGAGAAGTAGGGGTTTTTCTGAGATCTTCATAAGATCTCCAAGTCCAAAGCTCAAATGAAGTCTAGATATCACATAAGATGTGGAAGCTGTTGTAGAGCAGATGATCTTTATAAACTCAGTAATGCTTTCCAACAACTAATTCCACATATTCACTATAAGTCCTTACTTATAGAGTAGGTTTAGATGACATATTATTAGGAAGAAATCCCTTGCTTTGAGGGTGGTAATGCCCAGGAACAGGTTGCCCAGAAAAATTGTGGATGTCCTGTCCATGGAGTGTTCAAAGCCAGGTTGGATGGGGCTTTGAGCAGCCTGGTGTAGTGGAATGTAGGGGGATAGAACACAAGTAAATGAAGGTGGTATAGAATGTAATCTTACCCCCTAAAGAGTTGCAGCTGAACCAATTATTAAGGATTAGGAGCCGGCCTGATGTTAACAGGCCACAGTTGTAGCCAGTAAGAAGAGTGTTATAAAAGAGTGGAGTGGTTGGTTGAGGGGATCTGGAGTCAGTTGGCTGCTGTGAGGACAAGGAAGAGTCAGTGCCTGGAGGAGCTGCCTGCAAGAAACATCAGGGAGGTACAAAACTCTAGTAATGTGGAGCCCTTGCAATGTAATGATATTAGAACTCTTAATGATATTAGAACACTCTTAGACAACAGTGGAAGGTGTCTCTGCCCATGATAGGGGAGCTGGAACTAAATTATTTTTAAGGTCCTTTTCAAGTTGAACAATTTTATGATTCTAATTCAAATGTATTTCAATATTTTTGCTTCTTTCCTTGCTCCCTTAAGTGAAACCTGATTGCCTTTATAACTGTTGATTTCCCTTTTGTACCAACATGGCATACTGCTACTTACTCTTGATCTAGAAAATTTAGATATGTAGTGGTTTGGGTTTTTTTACTTTTATCTATATGTCCTCCTAATAACAGGGGACATAAACTCAACATGCATTAAACTCCCTGATTAATTCAACAGTGTACTTTTCAGTAAGGTTTTTATCCATTTCTTCACATATCTCAATATTCTTCCTACCTTAGAAAACAAGTGCTCTTCTGAGCGCTTAATGATAAACAGCTACCAAATTTTTACCACTCTAACCTTCAAATTCAATCTAATGGGCAGAAATAGAAAGAAATAGTTCAAATTATTAGTTTTAGTATTGCTTACCTTTTCGGTAGTAAATCTCTAGTTACTAATTGCCATACAGTCTAATACCACTACAGCTTCTGTAGCAGTCATCAGTCTTCTCCCATCCTAAGGACTGCAAATAATGTGCCTTCTGTTGCTCATATCAGAGTTTTACAATTTGGAACACCACACATTTACCTATAGCAAATTTATTTTAATGCAGATTTTGGGAGAAGCAGCATTACGCTGATCTGATGTCCCTTTCTATTCCTTCTGAAGTTTCTAATCTGTGAATATCTGGTCTTCAATTTTGTATTCTCTGAGTTTGTCAGGGTAACTTTGAAAAAAAGAGCTTTATTTTCTACCTTTCTGGTCATACTGCAGGAGATATGGCCCCTTTGTTAATGGTATGGTTGTGTAACAGCTATTTATCTCCTTTCATCCAGTGGGATAACATTGTTTCTATACTTTAGTAAGGGGAAGGAATGGTCTTTTCGCAGCTCGCTCCCTTTTTATCCTTTGTTACAGCATTAAAATATCTCCTTCCATTTATTGTTTCCATGCCTGGGAGCAGCTCCTCCACCCTACCATGAAGCTCCTCCTACACTTTCTGTGGTGAGCTGCCAGCCTCACTGGTTCTCCTTTGACAACTCAACCAAGGCAGCAGAATAGAAAAGCACAAAGTGCAGTGGGATCTGCAGAGCTGCACCAGGCACAGGGACAGCAGCTGCTCACCTTTGCTCTATCTCCCTGCCCAGGGGCTTCAACACCTCCCAAAGGGCAGGGCAGCTACAGCTGTGCCACATCAGCTGTGACAGCTTTTAGGTTAGAGTGCCCTTGTAAGGTGGGCCAACTCCTTCCCCAGATAAAATGATGAACTTTACAGAAGCTGGCTTCAGAACAGCTACTAAAGAGAAAGAAAGAAAAAAACCCAAAAAACAAGCAAGAGAAAAACCCCAACCTTGTATGTTAGAGTGTACCACAGAGGTGATGTAAGAAAAGGCCCATTAGACAGTGAGGACAATAAAACAGCACAAAGTAATGTTTCATTTTATTTGATAGAAAGTCGCTTCAAAAATATTATTAATTATATACATTATTATATATGCTATACATACAATTACATATACAAAATTTACATAATGGCAAACATCCTTCTGTTACATTTTATGGATGGTAGTTAATAGCATGAGCCAGAGCTAACATATTTCATACCTGCTTTCATCCTGATCCTATCTACAAGGAATTGTTAGGTGAGAGATGAAAAAGGATAGCAAATCACTTAATTTGTACCCCAGCCCACAAACAAGTCTTCTCCACAGTGCATTCTATTAGTGCCTTGCACTTCCCTTCAGTGGTATTTGGCTGATAACCCTCTCTTCAGATTTTTTTTTCAGTGTTCACCCCCATATTATTTTTAATTTATTTCTGTAACTCACATGTCCTGAAATCCTCCTCAAAACAAGCTAGATTTCTTCAATTTAATGTAATTTCATTTTTCCAGTCTGATTAGTTAGTTGCTTGTTTGCCATGTTTGAAATAGATTTAGCTAATAGTACTCTCAGTTCTGGGAAGGACACTCAAACAGGAAAGCTTTTTATATAGTCCCAAGTGTTCTCTCCTTCCCCTTTCAGCACACTGGAAACCTGAAATCAGTCAGCAAGGAAAAATCATAAAACTACAGAATATGCTGAGTTGGAAAGGACCCAGCAGGATCATCAAATCCAGCTCCTGGCCCTTCGGATGTGCAGGACACCCCAAGAGTCACCATGTGCCTGAGAGCATTGTCCAAACACATCCTGAACTCTGCCAGGTTTGGTGCTGTGACCACTGCCCTGGGGAACCTTTCCACTCCTTCTCCTAAGGCTGTTATAGGGTTTGTGTGACTGCTAGCTGCTTCCTGGAAGAAGTGGTGTCAGACCCCAAGGGGAACTGCCCAGATACTGGAATTTTCCTGGTCCTCATCCCATGAGGAATATTCTGCCTGCCCACCTTTTCTCTAAGCAAGGGGTAGCATACCAAAACACAGGGAGTAGAAGCTTCTGCTGATATGTCCTCTATTTCCCCACTGAAGGCACCAGGCACCCTTATCCTATGGACCTGATGGTCAGGGAAAAAGAAGGGAGTAAGAGCTGCCAAACCAGCAGAGTACCAGCAGCAGAATCCCTGTGAGAGAATGGCTTCCATAACTAAACAGGCTCTCCTGGAGGACTCTTCCCTGAGCTACAAATGAACATGGCTTCTTCCATTGCCTTTCCTACCTTGAGAGGTTAAAAAATAACTGCTTTTTCCTGTGAATATCTTGAGAGTTGTAGTTTCATTGGCCTAAGAAAGTTATTTTGTTTTCCAAGTTAGTAGCAGCCCTAGATGGCTATTTATTTCTTCCTCCCTGCTCATGTGGCCCTGTGCTTTCTATTCCTGTGCTGGCCACAGTCTTCATTTCACTAGGAGATCTTTCTATTTTCTCTCCATATCACTGTATCTTTTTTGAATTAATATGCAATAACTTTCTTTGATCAGTTAAGCAGTTTTCCCTCAGCTGTCAAGGTGAAAGCAAGGGGAATTATGGTTCCTCATATATATTCTTTTGGTAGTACTTTAAATAATGTTTTTTTCTAACTAAGGGGCACTCTACTTGTATTCTTCAGTACAAGTTTTAATTACTGCATAACATGCATATATCTTATAATATCTTAAATTCAAATATATTAATATGCCTTCAATTTTTTTCTAATCTATGGGATTTTCATTTGTTTGAGAAAAAAGTTCTCAGGCTTCTATCTCTGTCCACTGTTGGACACTACCATATATCTAGTTCAATTTAGGTATTATTTCTTTTTTTATTTCATACTGCTTCTTAATCTCTGTTGAGCACATGAGCTGGAATGAAACACCTGTTATTCCTTGTCTGAATTCCTGAGATTCTGTCCACAACCCTGGCTGGGAGAGGGCGCTGGTGAGCTGCTGGCGAGTTGAGACTCCACCTTAGAAGAAGTGGGTTTGGGACACTCCTGCTGACCTTCTGGGGCGGGAGGTGGAGGAGTCAGGCAGCTGTCACTTTGCTGAAGTTGTGCATTAGCAGCTGGTGAATCATCATCCTGCTGGTCTTGTGTGCAAGGAGGAACAGCCGAAGAGATGATGCCCTGAGGAGCAGCTGTTGAACCACTGTTGAGACAATTTATAACTAAGTTTGAGATATTGACATTAAATGTGCAATTAGTACTGTTCTTGGTTTCCAAGCTGCAGAGATTGTTTATTAGCTAGTTAAATAGTTTTCTTCACTGTCACATTGCCCTTTTCCTTGTTTCACCTCAGTTTCATGCATCTGAGATGGAAATTCATCTGTCTCGTTGGATATGTTTCCATATTTTTTTCTCTTGGATCATAATTCTACTCTGGGGAAAGGTGGAGGAGGTGAGTAAGGAAGAAATAGCAGCAAGGGAGAAAATAAAAGCTGCAGCAACACCAGTTTTTAAAGTTAGTAACTTGTTTGGATAAATGGTTACTAAAGGTCCTGCTCAACAGAATTTTCTCTACCCCTCTCTGCATTTCATTGCTGGAAGGTAGATTGAAGGAGTAGCAGTGAGATTATGAATACTTCTAAATTGTCTTACTTTTCTTACAGCGAATGTGTGCCATCTGAGTTAATGGAATCACCAAGTTATCTTGATTACTTAGATGGTGCTTAACTGCTTTGACAGTGAGGGAATGCTTAACAGATGTAAAAAATTCATTATAAATGTATTCAAAAGACACTATTCAGGCAATATCTGAATTGGTCACAATGGATGTTGGACTGGATTTTACATAAGCATTGATCAATAACAGACATAAAGGCATTTTAAAAATATTGAGTTTAAGTTGGAAGGTCCATAGGCAATATTAAATAACAGCCCAGAATTGTTTTAGTATAGTCAAAGTCTTCCTATCAAGGCTTCAAACTGTGTACATTAGAAGATTCTGGAATTAGCAAAATGTATGGATCCACCTCATGAAGATTTAAAATATTTAAGATTTTAATACTTTCAAAGAAGACAAAATCTGTGGTTTTGTGCTGTTATTTTTCCTGTCTGTGTTAAGGACAAGGAAAAACATTGCAGTGAATCATTGCATACTGTATATTACAAATACACAGGATCTTTAATTTATGAAGTCTTCTCATCTCTAGGAGAAAAGCATTAACATAGTAAACTTTATTTTTGCCTGGCTGGTGCATTTATTTATTGTTTCCAGATGGAAAAACCTGTGTATGTGGATTTTCCTAACAGATATTCTGTAAGAATTTCGCAAATAATAATTCACAGACCACTGGTGTGTGAATAGTACTACTGTGGTAGTACTCCATAGAGTACTACCAGGTGGCTTAGTAACAAATTTTAGAAGCAAAGCACTACTACTTTTCAAACACTTGTATCATAATGTAGACAAATATCTTGGGGTGCTTCTTGTTTGTTGTTGTTGGGTTTTTTTGTTTTTTTTTTCTTATTAAGTGTCTTACAGTTGCAAATTCAGATTTTAAAAGCATGCAGGAGATAAGTGAACCAGGAAAAAGAAAAATGTTACCTCAGTATAGAAAGTCTAAGTAAGGACAAATCTCTTTTCCCTTTCACCCTATTTAATCTCTTGTCCTGTTCCTTGCTCATTTCTTATTGTGTTCTTGAAGAGAGGCTGTGGCAGCTGAGCCTGCTCAGGCTCAAGCTGATCTTATCTGTGTGCACTACTGTCTGATGGGAGAGTGTAAAGTCGATGGAGGCTTATCCCAGAGGGGCCCAGTGGCAGAACCAGAGGCAAAGGGCAGAACTGGAAGCACAGGAGGTCCTGTAGGAACATCAGCAGCACCAGAGGCAATGGGCAGAACTGGAACATCAGCAGGACCAGAGGCAAAGGGCAGAACTGGAAGCACAGGAGGGCCTGGGGGGAACATCAGCCAACACCAGGAGGGTGGCGGAGCGGGGGCGCAGGGTGCCCGGAGAGCTGGGGGAGTCTCCACCTTTGCAGATACCCAACCAAACTGGGCATGGCTCTGAGCAAGCTGGGCTGGGTGACCCTGCTTGCAGCAGCAGGGCTGGACCAGCCAGCCTGCAGAGGTGCCTTCCAGCTCCAGCCTTCTGTGATATGTGCATGGTGTATGTGGAAACTGTACTGTGCCAACAGCTGACTTTACCGACTGTAGCCATGAGTTTGGTGATTTTGTATCACTTTCACTCACAAGGCAAAAATGCCCCTAATAGGTAAGATGTTATTTAATAAATCCTCTGACCCAATAATTTAGACTCTTTTGGCAGTAAAGGATTGCCAACGTAGCTTGCCTACAGTACTCTTATAAATACACACCAAAGAGGTGTGATTTTCCCTGTATTCACTTGTGGGTTAATTGGGGTACAACAGGTGACATGGAAGTGGAATTGACTTGTCCATGCTGAGACAGAGAATAATAAGAAATGTAAATAATGTCAAATCTAAAATAGACATATTCAGCAAAGCAACTCCATGAGAAAAACTCTGTTTTCTCTACCTGTAATTTAATAGTCTTGTGCTGCTTTGTCTGGCACCAATAACTATTTTTGTGCAGTAATGTTAAGCTGGACTGCTTCTGTATTATGTACTTTTTGTACAAGATTATGGAAATATTTACTGGCTTGGTAGTGTGTATACCAAGTAGGTAAATCTGTATTGTTACCTGAATTTTAAGACTGCTTTTAGATTTTATTACCATGAAGTAATATGCAGAATTACACAGTGCAGGCATTTTTTTAATGTTACTTACCAAAAACTATGTTTCTGAAAAGCACCTGAGTTAAGGTCTTTGCTTAAAATTGGCTTCTTGGTGCAATTGTTCAGTTTTTGTCCCATCATTCGCCTAATTAAAGCATCATCTGTGTTTGGAAACAACTGTTTTGTGATTCCTGCAAAATAAAGAGATGGTAATATAGTTTTATATATAGGGACCCTCCAAATAAGAGAAACAAGAAATGTGTGATATAATTTCTTGCATCTTTTAAAATCCCAGCCACTTCAGCTTCCACTCTAGTTACTTCACAATCTTTACAAACTCCTTCAGAGATTTTACACACCTCCTTTTTGTCTTTGTGCCTTCCCATTGCTGCCTGCTCTTGGCAGACTGAAAAGGAACCCCAGGGCCACAAGGGCTTCTTTAGTGAGTGATTTGTGCTTGGTAATAATTTTTCCTTATGTTCTGTCCCTGATCAGAGTCCTTTTCCCATCCTCATCAGTCCTTATGACTCTGAATCTTTTTTTTTTTTTTTCCCTCATTAGTTTTCATTTGCAGGTGATGTCACTTTTTCTAAAAATTTCCCTCCTGTTTTGCCTGGCTACATTTTTTGAATGCAATAATAACAGGACTCAACATGAGGAATGTGATTCTTGCTCCCTTCTTTTCCATCATCTTCCCTCCCCTTGATTTCCCTGCCCTTTAATTTCATTTTATTTTGAAGTCCCACAATTTCCATCTTCTTTAAATAATCTGATTCACTAACTCATTTTCTACAGTCCTAGAACTCCCAAGCTTCCTTCTCATTTTTCTTTTTCTCTTGTATAATGTTGACAGTTTTCTGTTTAAATTTCAGAGTATTCTCTTCTATCTTAACAAAGTTCTTTGATTTCTTTGTAAGCTTTGTCACTGAATTCTCCACAATATGCTGTGTTACCTTCTCTGATTCCCTTTTCAGTTTTGCCTAGGCCCTAGTAGGATTTAGAATCATTAAGGTTGAATAAAACCATTATGATTGAGTCCAACCATTTTTCTCATCCCATTAAATATTTTTCATTTTTCTTAAATGTCATTCCAAAACTGTCTCATCTTACTGCCTCTAAATATATTTTTACCATCCTACACACTCTTTCCTTTTATCTCTCTCGACTTTGGGCCTTTTTTTTCCCTAACAAGGTTCTTAAAAAAAGGTTTTTTGCAACTGATAACTTTTGAAACTGATGGCTAACTTCAACAAAACTGTACTAAGGTACAGGAACTGGAGCTAAACAGAAGGGAACCAAGAGAACTGCAAAGTCCAAGGGAATGGCAATGGGGGAGGAATTATAGTACAGTAATTAAGGCTATATTGCTCTAGTATTTAGTTATAGGTGTGAATCCAATTAAAATTTGGCTTCATATGCTCACAAAATTCTGTTTTCTTTAAAGCTAATACTTACATTTGAAATTTTCTGTCCTATTCACCAAATATTTTCTGCTGTAAACCTCAGCATAAATCAAATTTTGTTTGCTTCTCTGACTGCTATTTCTGTCTTCTATACAGTCTCATTTTGCCTCTAGCTCTATTTAAAATGTCAGAATTCATAACATTCACTAAACTTCAGAACACAGCAGCCATAATTTAAAATTTCATCCAAGTGTGTCCTCTTTTTGCTTTCCCTTATCTGTTATCATCGTGCTCCAAGTTTGACTGTTGCAGGTTAACCCTGCAAGGGCTAAAACAATTTACAGTATCACTGTTCCTGAGCAGTCACCTGAATAAAGCCCACAGAATTCACACAATAGAAATACTACCACATAGCATTTCACTGGCAGTATTTTTAACAGATGGTTTTAAAAAGCATGTAGTTGAAGAAGGAAATAGGAAGCAGCTCATCACCTGCATAGAGCAGCTGCTAAGCATGACAGCCCTCCCTCCAAGAAAGCCCCCTGTCAAGTCAGAGCCACAGTGAGTAAGGTTAACAAGTCATCACCTATGATTTCCTGAACTTCATTCTGATTCATAGCTGGTTTTGCTGCTTTGTCCTTTGAAGAGGAGGACTTTGCACCTGTCAGGCTGTGTGTAGCCATGTATTCGTGTGTATAAAGTGCTTGCATCAAGTCATTTATAAATTTTTGAGGTTTGCTCTTGTTACAAAGTGCAATCTGCCACTTTTCGATCTTGAACTGGAAAACAAAATTGGTCATAGGCATAATTACTGCAGTTCTCTAAAAATATTATATACTATTACCACTGAAATATCTTTTTCATTTTCTCTTTCTAAACCACAATTTCAAAAGCAATCTCTACAAACAGTGTGCTTGAGATAATGCCACTGCTCAGCATTTGGGACTATACACACAGCTTGATTATTTTCCAGAAGGAAGTGTGGGGCAGACTAAGGACCCCATGCAAACCCTTCACCATCCTCATTACTCACTAGTGGAGACAGGACACGTTCAGACACAGCAAAATCCTTCTGCTTGCTCCTCATGCAGGCTGGCTGTGGTCCAGTTCTGGCATGGTTTCTGTACTGCCTTGGTAGCATGGCACTGTGCCCAAGCAAATATTCCTGCCTGTGAGCAGGCATGCCCTAAGAACTGTGACATCTGGTCCTGGGCTTTGAGAGTGGCTTCTGCATGCAGCAGTGGTACAGCCAAAGAGTTTGAACTCCCCTAATAGGCAATTTTGAGCTACCTCTATGCAGTAAGGCAGGCTGCTCAGAAAATTAGGTCTTTTTATTTCTTTGAAGATGTTAGGTCAAATTTTGTGGTTTCCAATATGCAGTCAAAACACACTACAATAATTCTTAACAGATGACTTTGGGTTTTAGCACTCCATGACAACACACAGGAATGATTTGCATGGACTACCTTGACCCAATGCATGTTTATGTAAATTGTGAATGCAGACATTAGAATTAATTCTTTTGTTTTTGCCTTCATTTTTTTCATGTACAGCCTCTGTGCCTTAGATTTCTCGATCATGTTCTGTTATAATTGCAGAGAATAAAGGAACTTCCTTACTCAGTATCTCTGTACACATGTATTTCTACTTAACTGCTAGCCACTGTTTGGAACAGGAGAAGAAACACAGCAGCTGCCAATTACAAATTAACAGTTTGAACAGACTGCTGGTATTCATCTTAGATTATCTTGGAAATACTGTTATTCCCCTTTGGCATCCAAACAATTAGGCTGGAAGTTATCCCTGGATCTTGGCATTTTCTTCATGTATCCAGATTCTGCCCTTAGCTACAGATATGCAAGGTCACTGAAATGAAAGTGAATTTCAAAGTGTACAGGACACTGATTAAGAGCTCATGCTTCTCATGGAAAGAGCATTCTGCACAAAAGGAGCTCGTAAGTTATGTTATCAATGCAATAATGATAAATTATTTTACAGATAATTATTTTCTATATTATGCTATAGCAGTAAACATTATACTGTATAAAGTTTCATGCCTGAAATTGCCTTTTAGCTGACCTGTTTTTCAGTCTGTTGCTCCTCATCTTCCACATTCAGGGTGATTGGTGAGCTGGAGTTACTATGCATAGCTGCATAGGAGTCTGCTAATGGATTGTGAGATGCCTTCCAAACAGCATGGGGATGCAGACTGGACGTGGCTGATGTCACTCCCCCTTTGAGCAGCGCTTCAGCCATCCCTACCAGTTCCTCAAAGTGAGTGACTGCCTGTGGCAACACTGAAATCACATGAAAAGGGAGGGGTAAAACAGTAATGGAAGCTTTCAGACTCCAATTACATAAGCAGGGATATTTAGCAATTGGATTGCTGTCACATAATGCAAAAGACTCAAAGTAGTCAGCAAAGATATTTCAATATACTTCTTTCCTCCTCTCTCAAATGCTTTCCTACCATTCTGCTGTCCCCACACATGAATATCTGGGGTCAGTTTCTAGAACAGATCAGTTCAGTGTAAGGCTAAGAGGAATTATTAGTTTATGCCCATTCTGGCACAAAACAGACTGTTTCTCTTTTTTCTTTGCACAATCTCAGAATCTCTACAAGTCCATAAAGCTATTGAATATGGGCTAAGTGATGTCTGTTTTTTCTTTTTTACCTTCAAAGAAATTACACAGACTTCAGAAGCTTTTTCTTTTTTTTTTTAACTCTAGAGAATATGTTTTAAATAACCTTTTCTCAAAGTATTATTTTCAAATATTAACTTTTACAGCAACCATTAAGAAGAATCAATGCAAAGCAAAAAGGATTCAAGAGGTAACATATCAGCAAGATACAGAATCACCAAATTAAATAAAGTACTGTAAAAGACTAGGATAATTGCTCAGGATGTAAGGTAAATTTACGTGTGAGAAAAGTTGTCAGACACAAAGAAAATGTTTACAAATAATATTTAAAAAGGTGGAGATGAATGATTCAAACCAAGATGAAATGCAATCAGATGGGAAATGAAAATGATAAACAGTTGCAAAATCATCTGACAATAAACAGATACCATCACATTTTCTAGGGATGGTATGGTGTAGCTGGCACAGGAGAGAGTAAATCCTCTTTAAACCTTATTCATTCACTAGTGGTTTGAAATTTTAGATTCAGTTTTGGCTGCCTTAGAGTAGGGGACAGGGACAAGCCAGAGGCACTTCAGAGATGATCACTAAGAGATGAAGGGTTCATTTACAGAGGAACAAGATTTTTCATCTCTGGGAAAGAATTTAATTTGGTGCATCTGAAACTAACTCGGATTTTCAGTAATGAGGAATCACAAAAGTAATTAGAAATTAAGTCATTTCAGAATAAATGAAATATCAATTGATCAAGAAAGACTGCCAGTAAATAAGGGTAGTTGGACTGGTCAAATACTGAAGTATTTGAGCTTAGCCAATGGTTACACAGCATACAGAAAGGTTCTCCTGGGAACAACTGGCAGGATTTAGACACCTTTTTCATTTCTAACTCTATGATTGCATGGCCTCTGTGTAAGTCAGTAAGTGCTGCTGGAATTAAATGCTGCCATGTATCACAGACTGTGATGCTAATGGTAGGCCTTCATCATGTCAGGTGCTTGAGCATCCATAATTCCCATCCAAATGGCCTCTTATAAATCAAGCTTTTCCTGACCTTCAGGCTTTTCTCTTCATCAAAATACTCCCAACTTTACCTTGAAGCATCACCAGGGACTGCCTTAGGCGGCAGTTTTCTCTCATGGTATCTGTCAGCTTCCTCTTGAGACTTTTAATTTTGGCACATAGTTCTACCTTGGAGAGTTGAAATAAAGGCTCTTCATCATCACTGCTACTTTCACTATATAGAAAGTTGCTTCCTGAATATGGTTCTCTCTGAAAAAAACCCCAAACCACTGTGATATCTAGAGCAACAACAACATAAAATCAAAGCATCAAAACCAACATTAAAATATCTGGCTAAATAAAAAAATTCTCATGTATAAACAGACTTAGCGCATTTTAATAAAAACTTTTACCGAACATAGCTCTTAGTATTCTAGTTGAAATGAAAAATGAAATGTCATTTTAATATGTAACTGTTAGGTACCTTTGTCTCTGTTCTCTATTCACCAGTTTTCCAAAGCAGCATCTTTCAGAACTGTTAACTTCACTATAGCAAAAATCTTATGCCTCCCTCAAAAATACCTTTCAGACTGCTTTTGCTTGATACGTGGCTGAAAATGGATGTTTACCTGTTTGTTAATTAAAGATGTTTCAAGTTGACTCAGGATGTTGGCAGGAGCAGATGCCTGCAATGATTTCTTTCTTTTTATATGTTTCATCATCTTCCCCTGTAAAAAGTGCATAACAGTGCCTTTGCATTCCTATAGAGCCTTTCATAACAGTATTTCATACTATACCATAAGTTTTTATTCACTGTGCACTTGACATTCTTGGTTAGTAGTTTCAAAAAATGTATCTGTAACTTTGTTAACTTTCATATTTTCCTTGCCTATATTTTGTCACTGCAGATCTCAGCACAAGGTACACCTTAGAAAACCTGCTCCCTTCCCTTTTTAAGCAGTAGTCAGATTTCTGTCTTACAGAGCATCAAAGCCTTGAATAGCACTCATCTCTTGACACAGAAAAGGACAAAATCCATTGGCCTAAGTAATTACTCTGACAGGTTATTGTGCTGAGGTACCACGTGAAGGCTGCCTGTATTCCTACCTTTACCATCCTTTGTGTGTTCTATCGTGAAGAATCAATAGTTACAGTCTATTTCATTCCTTTATGGACCTAAAAATATAGGGCACATAAAGACACAAACTCACCTTTTCTTTATCCAGGTCACTGTCCTCACTTTCTGAGAATATCATTTCTATCCTCTTCCTCTTGCCTTTTCCAAGGACTTGTATTTTTGTAATTTCATCTGCTCGTAATATCTTTTGCATCATTTCCACCAGCTCTTGGGGGTCATCTGAAGTGGTGGAAAGGAAAAAGGCCAAAGCACAGACAATCAGGCAACTATAGCTTAAAAGCAGGTTTCATATCAGACAGATATTCTGGAACTGCACTCACCACTCATGTACACAACTTTCACCAGGTGCTTTTCTGTCTTTCTTTCTCCCACTGGCCAGTTTACTAGTACGTGCTCATTAGGTTTCAGAAGCCTTTCTAGTTCATTGTCATCACAGGGAAGGTCCTGGATCCATGAAGTCTCTCCAATTTGCAGTGAATTATCATTTACAAAATCAAACAGTGTGAATTTTTTCATTGTTAAATGGCTTTCTTGTCACACAGACACTTCCTGAAGGACAATATAAGAAAAATAGTAGTTACTGTAGCATGCCACAGGGATGTTACAAGAACCCTTTGAAAAGCCCCAAACAACCCTCCTTTTGCTGGATATTGGTAATTACCTTGTAGGAATATACCCTAAGGAAGTGAAAACTAGCCAAGCAGTGAGTTGTGTCCCACCTGAAAGATGGGAGATGGTCTGTTTAACACCTGTACATCAGACATTTTCCTCAAAAACTATGCACAAAAAACAGCTTCCACTCACAGAGTCCTGGCTCCCATATTATTTCTATTTCAGTCTAGCAGGGATCTCTACTACTACTACATTTGTCTCAACAAAATTTTTAGTCCAGCTTCTGACTAAAAGATACAAGTGTGATAGAACCTTTCCCTAGAATGGAGGAAAATGCTAGCTATTCAAGCTATTAAGTGGAATGTATGGTTATCATTTCATGGTCAGGAAGACAATTGCAGCCACAGAAAACCAACCCAGAACTACCCAGGACAACTGAGTGGGTGAGGTACAACACAGCCTGGCAGTGGAAAGTTTGATGCACAAAAGAAGTGACAGGCTAAGGACTGGAAGAGAGCTGGGCTGCTTCATGAGGAAAAACAGCAACAAGGAAAACCCAACCCCAAATATACAGTTAAATCATTTGCCTCATAAAACAATGCTTTTAAAGCAATGTGCTGTTTTGAGTTTTTTAAAGCACTGGATTTCTCCACCAGAAGAATGGAACAAGTCATACTTTGAGCTTTATTTTCCCAATTAGGATAATAGCTTTTCATGAAAGTATAAATTCTACTGGAAATGTAACCACTTCTTTTAAGTGCTGCCATTATACTCAGAGAAGATATTTTCTGCTTTAAAATTATTAAATCAATACATAGAAAATCTGATTTTCAAACCTGAATCTTCTTTCCAGCAAACATATGGTCAATTCATAAAGGTGAAATACTTTCACAGAGCTGAAAACTCATGAATTCCTAGATGTGACAATGTGATTTGCAATTGACTTGGCCTCAATCTGTCAGAAGCAAATTTAGTGCCTCATGAAGACTCTGTCAAAAAGGGAACTCAGAGCTAGAGAATATCTGGCTGCACTGCTCTATGAAGCAATGTCAATTCATTTGCAGAAGCCCAGTTTGCCACTATTCCACACGTCTGCTCTATGCCTCAACAGAACTGGCTTTCCATACAGGGGTGAACTTGTTAATTTGCAAAAGACAGCTGCAGTCTCATCAACATGTTTACTGATACAATGGGGCAAGCAGTATAGATAAGAAATCATCATTAAAAGGAGTATTAAACCAAACTTCTATGCAGAATATGTTTAATGTGACAGTAGTAGGATTGTTAAGTATTGCCTCACTGGAGAAAGGAGACCGTGTTTGCAAGAATTGACATTATTTTTCTTTGAAGATCAGAAAACATCCATCCCATGCAAATTCTGGAAGAGGAAGCAGCCTGAATATCTCAGCCCAGCATGACTCATTAGAGACCTCATTCTGCCACTGATCCCTGCTGGATGGATCCTCATAACAGAGTCAGGGATCATTCAAATGAAAAAACATATAGACAAAACAGAATCCAAAGGAACAAAAGTTCCAGCACTGACCTCGTGATGGACAGGTAAGGTCCAAACTGGAACTGTGTGTTTGTCTGAACAACAAAATACCAGATTTGAAACAGGTGGAGTATGCAATCAGCTGAGCATCAGTATTCTTCCTCCTTTTTCAAAATGCTTTTGAATTTATACTTCACTCAGCTTAACATTTTTCATCTGGCTCAAAGATGTTAGTTCTGCCTCTGACCTACCTATCACAGCAATCTACACCACCCAGTTCTTTGATTCTCAAATGAAGTACTTTGATATTTCCCCCTTTGGCCTTGGCAGTTGTGAGCTATTCTTTATCCTCCTAAAAGCTTACAAAAGAGCTACAGAATTGCAGCAGAGTTAGAGCTGCCAGTGTGCTAACTCTAACAACTGATTGATTGACTTCTATATTTTTTTAATGTTTCCCTGCAGTCCTCTAACAGTTTGTCTTTTGTCTCTCATTTTGTATTAAGACAAATATTCTCTGAGCCATGGGACATTCTTGTGGTCTGAACTTGCACATGGTTAGTGAGCCAGCCCAGGATTTCCAGAGGTACATGGACACACAGGCTCTTCACAGTATGCAGGGCAAGTGGTGATTCCCCACAGCACCGGAGCTAGTCACATACACACTGTGCCAATGCCTTGCACATCAGTACCAAATCCAACAGCTTTTGGGAGGTATCACACCTGCCTACATTTTTAAACAGCTTAAGGAAGCCAATGCAAATGTGGACTTCTGGATGTTCAGAGTCCATGAGAGCAGCCTGGCGCCACTGTAAAGCACATGGACAACAAAATATCTCACAGCCTTTACACCAGGCAAGCACCTGGATCCATGAAAATACATCTGCCCTCTTTATGCTAAGGACAAATTTTACCACAGCAGGACATGGAGCTCAGCAATTTATCTACATTATATATAAAATTCTTCTGAGCTGACAAGATTCTTGCCTGTGGTCAGAGTGTGTTCTAACAGCTAAACAATTTCACTAAGGGCCTTCACAGCTGCCATATTGTCTCAGCATGCTGAGAGAAGGGATATCCTGTTGTTTGTAAAGGGACCAAGGCAGGAAAGCAGTTGAGGGGCAGCAACAGCAACTGGCCAAGCCCCCTTTTCTCTGCTGCACCTCTACTGAACCTGAGCCCAACTCCTTGTGTTATGGGTAAAATGATGAAATCATTACATAGCCAAACATGAATCGTTACATTGGAACAGAGTGTAGTAGTTGGTTGCAAGTATTTTTATGTTATGGAGCAATGGCTTCAGCTCCTGCAGTAGACATTAATCAAACTATGTCTTTTCACAGAATTTATTGTGACAATCCACGGGCCCTGGGGATAACACCGAACTGTCTGCTGGCATCATCTCTAGCAGGGATTAAAGGGAATGGAAAGGTAGAACAAAATAATAAGGGAGAGGAATAGTGAAACACTTCACTTTCTGGAAAAGAAGTCCCACAGTGTTTTCTCACTCTGACCTCACACAGGAGCCAATGTGAACCTTGCTGGAGATACTTCCCTCTAAAATCTTATTTGCCAAAACAAATCAAAGGCAAATGATAATGTATCATCAGAAAACAAACAAAATAAGTTGGGAACTGGGAATGTTACCAAAATTTTACTGCCTTAAAAGGGAGAGGGTGTCTAGCCACATTTGGCTCAGTCACTGCAGAAAGGGAGGTGATTCATCTCACCCTGTGACATGTGTACTGTCTGGGAGAGCCTATTTGTCTCCACCAACTACTCAGTGACTATACAGTTGGTGTGTCTCCTTATAGAAGCTGGACTGGTCCAAGCCATCTTGAATTACCTTTTTATGCTTTTGAACAGATTTTGAGCAGTAGGATAGATTCCAGTAGACCAGCAGAAATTATAGAGAGCTGAAAGGACGGCATAAGAAATCTGTTAAAGTGTATCTGGTTCTCTGTTTTAAATCTTTCTAACGTAGTTCTGCAAGTCATCAAGTAAGATTTCTGACACTGAAGGCTTTGGTCAGTGGTTAATTTGGAGGAAACATTATCATTCACAGGCATTACCCTGTGTGCAGCTACTAACCACAAAGACATTATATGACCTTTGAAAGCCACTTATGCTTTACAAGTTATTTAATTCTGCTACATGCTCCATTTGAAAACACTACTGATTTGAGTAATACTGAAATCCAAATTTACAATTTTTTACTATTCTAGGTCATTTGTAGAAGGGAAAAAAGAAAAAGGAAGGAGCCCTATAATTTTAAAGTTCTGCAGAGGAAATATTAATTGGACTCAATTTTTACAAGCATGTTAACGCTCACATACTGCACAAATGCTATCAATTTGTAATTGTGATATTGTTACTAAGCAACACAAAAAGCCAAAACAAAACCAAACCAAAACTGCACAAGAAACCCCAAAGCCACCAAAAATCCACAAAGGTCACTTAACGACATATTTCACCCTTTGTCTGACATAGTCTGTTCTGTTCAGCCAGACAACTGGCAGATGGCATGCTGAGATCATTATTTCTCTTTTCTTTCAGTAAAAACAGTGCAAAGTGTTACAAGTTTACCACATGAGATTGTGTACCCACTTGATGAGTCTGATTCTGTTGGCTTAAAACAGGGCTTTGACACTGGTTTCAGCAAATTGAGGAACCATGTACCACAGATCCATAATTATGGTAAATGCTCAGGCTTGCTACAGAGTTGCCTTAAGTTAGTGAAGAACTGATGAGATTGGTTGAGAAAAACATGAGATGTGCCCCTGCCTCTCTTATACCTGGCTCGAGCAAGGTGTAAGGACTGAATGATGCCTGGGTGAAGTGGAAGCCTCAGAGAAGCCCCAGAGAAAACCTGCACCTCTCTACCAGCCACTCTGCAAAAGCAGCCTTGTTATAAATGTGGTCCTGTAAGGAGACAAAGATGTACACAAAGACTTTCTAGTGAAGGTCAGACAGCCTTTACTGCCACCTCAGCAGGTGGAGGAGGACCAAAGTGTTTATTGTACCTTTTGTGTCAACTATAAATTCTGGCTGAAAATAACCAAGACACTCATTAAGCCCTATTTGCATATTAACTTTTACATCCTAAGAATGCAAATGAAGATAAATGAAAATACATCTTACATGTATGATCATAATGCCCAAAACCCCACCTATGGCATAAAGGAAGGGGAGGTTTGAAGCAAATGAAGAAAAAAAGAGAGAGGGAGAAACACCTCTCCTTGGAATTGGCTGATGGACTGTCCTCCTCCCCTGAAGGGATGCCTCTAGGTGAGCTTTGTGCTTTCAGTGCATTGTAAAGACCTGGGAATATTTTTATATTTCTATCTATGTATTAGTAATAGAGCTCTGTTACTATCACCTGCTGTAGTGATACACTGTATTTAGTGCAATCCTGTCACCAGCAAACCTGAACCTGCTTTCCTAC